TTTACAGGTGGGGAAACCGAGGCATAGAAAGGGATTCTCCTCCCAGGACCACCTAGGTGGTTCATGACAAGAGCACTAGATTGGTCTCTGGGAGGAATTTGTTCCTAGGCTCTGGATCAACGCCCCCCCTCCCCGTTCCTAGCTGGCACCCCATGATCCTGGAGTCCTTGCTGTGGGAATGAGCTGCCCTGCGGCTTGGTGAAAAGCTAGCTGCTGATGGTGCCAGGCCTGGCTCTCTACAGGGTGATTGTGTTCTGAGTAACTTGACCTTGAAGTGGGCAGGGCTGACATTTGAACCTGCACTCCACCCCCTACCCCAGATCTTGCTTAACTCTTCAGGTACCAGAGCATCAGACAGCAGATTGGTGTGTGATTTCCTTTTGCCTTCTAGACATTTTTTTCCCTTCAAGGCAAGCCAGGCAATAGGGGATCCAGGTCCCAAGTAGAATTTCAGATGTCTTTGGTTGGTGCCTTCTACTGCTCCTAGAAAAACAAGTTTTCCCTCTGTCTGTTTGCTTAGGATAATGTGCTCATATGACTTTTGGAAGTTTCTACTCATCCCTGAGCCTGAAGAAAGGATCCAGGTCCCAAGTAGAATTTCAGATGTCTTTGGTTGGTGCCTTCTACTGCTCCTAGAAAAACACAGTTTTCCTCTGTCTGTTTGCTTAGGATAATGTGCTCATATGACTTTTGGCAGGTTTCTACTCATCCCTGAGCCTGAAGAAACCTAGCTCGCTCATGTTGAACATCTCTGGTCTCAGAGGCAAAAGCATAGCCACCCTAGGGGTGTCCCTCTCTAGCTTGTAAAGCACCTTTGGTGACCACAGTTCTTCAAGTCTCCTAAGTCCTTGAACCTTTGAGCCCAAATCACCCCCAGCCAGAAGGAAAGCAGGTCGGGGTCAATAATAACCACCACTTATCGAGCACCTGCTGTGTACCAACCAGGTCTCTTGCTGGGTCCTTTGCACACGTGAATGCCGTTTCCCTTAATCTTCATCACTCTGCAAGGTTCGTACCAGCCCTGATTACAAAAGAGGATGATGAGGCCTTAAAAACCAGAATAAACCCCCAGACTCCTTGGAAGTGATAAGACTATGGTTTGCCTATGGCTCTAGCCCCTGCAGTAGGAAATGAGGTTGGAGAGGGAGTGATTATACCCTGTACTCTGCTGGAACTTTCCCGCAGAACCACTCTGGGGGCTCCAGCCATTGGTACCCAAGCTCATTTCCCTGCCCTCAGATTGATTTGCCCTCCTAGTCTCCTTCTGGCCTCCAGAAAGCTTGAGCAAGTGTGGCCTTGACCCTGCTTTCCCTGGGGAGGAGGCAGGTGAGGGGACACTCATTAGTTCACAGTTAACCAACCAAGCCCTGACCCTGAACTCCTCCCTGGTGCTCTAGCCAAGTTTCTGTTCCTTTGTTTAAGCAATATCACTTTCACCTTTGTTTATTCCTGGGCAGGGAAGGGGTGTCCTGGAGCCCTGGCTTGGGCTGTGTGTTATGGGCTACGTGGTTAGGGTGAAGGTAAAACTGGGTGACAGTGAGAAATATGGTTATTAGAAAGATCTGGGTTCGAATTGGACACTGTTGCTTTCTAGGTGTGTGACTGTGGTAACTGACTCAACTAAACCTCAGTTTTCTCATCTGCAGAGTGGGACACCTTTACAATGCCCCTGAGCAGATTCATTGAGTTTATATAGAGACAGTGCCCATTAGTCACCCAATCTCCATGATTTTCCTGATGGACATTGTAGGTGACAGATGTTGTAGCACTTTGGGACACGATCGGTGGTCTTTTCCTAGCTTCATGCAACAGCCTGAAGATTACAAGGGGTATTACTCAAGGGCCAACTGCCACCTGTGTATTTGCTGAGAGCCCTTGGGACAGGCCAGGCTCTGGAAAGAGACTGAGGGCTACTCTAGCCTGGGAGCTAAGAGACTTAGGTTCTAAGCCTTGCTCTGTTGCTAGCTGCCTGGGTGACCTTGGCAAAGTCCCTGGTTTGTAATCAGTCTCAGAGGTTATAAAATGAGACGGTTGGGCTCAGTGGCCTCAGATACCTTCTGTTGGCAGGTGATAGTCCCTATAAAACAAAAGTGTACTGACTTCTATTCTTTTCCCTGGACAGCTTGGTGAAGAATCCAGGATCTCTAACTCCTAGGACTAATTCAGATATCCACCAGCCACAGGCCAACAGAGCCTCTAGGCCCAAGCCCATAGCCTTATTCAGCTGGCTTGTGTTATATGTTTGCAAAAGGGTCAAAGATGAGCTCTGAGGACCCTCAGAGGATGTATAACACGTGTGAAGGCATGTGACTGGAGAGGGTTGGGGACAAGCTGAGAACAGACCGCATCTTTAGTCAGGAGCAGGGCTGGGTCCCTTTCTGGTCGGGACTGGGCCTGCCTGCTGGGTGGCCTGACTTTTCAAAGTCACCTCAGACTGAATGGACCTTGTCTGAAGAACTATTGCCCACAATTCTACTGGGCTTGGTTCTGTCTCCTCTGGAACTTGGCATAAAAATGAAGGGATTGGGAAGACCAGGAGCCCCAAAGAGGGCTGAGCTGGGAGTAAATCTTGGTTTGGGCCTCTCGGCTTTACCACTGTCCTGGCTGTTTGGTCTTCATACTGATCTGTTTTTGGTCCTCATTTCTCATGGAAGCAATTACCAGTAGCCGATGAGTATGCTTATCTTTAATCTCTGGGGTTGTTTTGAAACACTCCACAGCACTTTCACAAGCTAAAAGGAAGGCTGGATGCATAACTGACATTCCACAGCTCCTAGGGGCAAGGTAGAGTAGGGGAGGTCTCTGGTTTGAGACCTGCGCTAGAATCCAAGCCCCATGCTAGAACCTACACCTCGGTCCTGAGGAATTTGAACTCTGATGTCCCCGGCCATTCTAGTTATCAGAGCAAGTTAATAGTGGTCAAAGAAGTATCTGCCTCTCTCCTTCCCTCCCCCTCCCCTTTTTCCTCCTTTCCCCCTTGATGGATTTGACACACCCACCTAGTGCTCCTTTGTAACCTAGGGCAGGCTGATAGCCCTATGCACATGTGTATTCATGTATATGTGGTTAAAAGCCCAGGTGATCTCATAGCTGGGTTCTGATCCTGTTGGTCACTTTCTGCCTTAGAGAAATACTTTTCCTTTCTGAGCCCTGGTTTCTACCTCTGCCAAAAGGGTCTACGTCATCCCAAGTGCGTAGTTAAGGCCTGGCTTTCCATAAGCCACAGAAGTTCTGCTGTTACAGATTGTGAGCCATAGGGAATTTGCAGCAAGGCATCGGGGTAGGAACCTTGTCCTAGGTATAAGGCACTTGCGCAACTACAGAGGAACCCTCTCCCTGTGCTGCCAAACCAAAGCCACAGGCGCGGGCTCTGTGCGGGGGCTGGAATTCCAGCCCCAGCAGCTCCACAGCTCCTGATTCCGGAGTCATGAAGTCATCCCTAACCAGGGCTTAACCCCTGCTGGCTCCCCACTCCCACGTGTATCCAGCACTTGGCATTGATTGCCCCCCTCACCCTGGGGAGAGAGGGATGCCTTCCCCTGCCTTCCTCCCAGCTCCCTTCCCGTAATCTAGCATCCTGGCCTTGGGGGTGGAAGAGGGGGAACAGTCAGTTTCTGCCACTTCTCCCTGGAAGAGAGTTAGGGAGGAGCCTGTTCTCAAAGCTGCTTTCCTGACCTCTCCTGTCACTCTATCGCCAGTCTTAGGGACAGAATCCCTGTTGTGTCACTGGCAGCCTCAGCTGGGTGAAGGACAAGCCTGGGGAGTCAGAAACAGACCTGGCTTCTTTCTGTCCTAAGGTGTGTCTGGCTGATACTGTGTGTGACCCTAGGCTAGTCACTGTCCTATACCCAGCTTGAATTCTGGCAAATTCTGTGAAAGGGAAGGGCCAGACTGCCCCAGGTCTGAATGTCTAGCTTGTATTCCAGGCTTCTAAGCAGCCCCTCACCTCCTGTATGTAGTTCTGGGAGCTGGAGGAAATGGGATCTGGTAGGGGTGAAACCGTGACCCTTGCAAGGGACTGTTGTATGGGCAAACTGAAGTCTAGAAGTCTAGAGGCTAGAAGGGCAGAGGACATCTGAATACATCCTACCGTATTGGGGAAGCTTTGTTGAATACTCAGCTGGGACAGGTGGGAGGGAGCAGAATAAGTGGGGTCTACAGGGAGAGTGGGAGCAGTTATTTGCCTCCTTGGACCTTGGTATATTCCTTTTGAAAGCTGCTTGGTAGAGTTGGGCCTCAGACTCTGTGGTGACCACCTGAGTCACTAAGGAGATGAAGGCTGAGTGACATGGTCTTCGAAGGCAGAAACTATGTCTCTGTGCCCTGCACAGAGCAAGCAGCAGAAGAGATGTGTGGGAGAGGTTTAGAAGACTCACGAGTGCACTTTTGAGTCATCAGGTCTGAGCAGTGCTCTGCGGCTATCTTGGGGTGTGAATGAGCCTGCCCTGTGTGTCCCAGCCCAGTCTGACTCAGCTGGAGAATGTGTCCTGGATGGGGCAAGACCAGAGCCAGTAGTCTACTGCCTGGCATGTGTGAATCAGCTGCCACTGCATCATAGGGTCCTGGGGTGTAATATCCTGGGACTGCCTGTATGCATGGGAACCACTGCCCCTGAAGTCAGGTGGCTTTGTGTGTAGCCCTCCCTCCTGCCTGTCACTTGTGCTACTGAAACAATGACCTAAAGCCTTTAGTGCCTAGTCTCTTGGGTTGTAAAATGAGTTAACAACTCACCCTCGGTTACTGAAAACAGCCCGGATGTTGCAGGTGCTCAGTAAATGATATCTAGAAATACTAATAACTTGTTTGTTACAACTTTATTATTTTTATTAACACAGCATGGGAAAGAGAGGTCACACAGCAGGTGGGGGCAGAACCCAGGTCTCCAGATGCTTATTTCTTTGGTTCTTGTGGGTCCAGCTGTTGTAGAGTGTCGAACTTCTAGAGTGCCGAGTGGGAGGGGGCCAGAGACCTGTCAGCTGATGCTTCACCTTTCTTTCTAGATTCGAGAGACTGAGGTGATCAACCCCCAGGACCTCCTAGAAGGCCGGTACTTCTCTGGAGCCCTACCTGATGATGAAGATGCTGCAGGACTCGGGCAAGAATCAGATGACTTTGAGATCTCAGGCTCCGGAGATCTGGGTATGGGGATGTGCTGGGCAGGCCTGAGACACTGGTTGGAGGCAGTTGTGGCTCTAACAGTGAGACACTTCAATTTTGGTGGAGATTTTCCTACGGCACCCCTTCTCCACCTCAAAAGGGGAAACAAAAAATAGCAGGATAATTTTCTACCCCAGAGACCCCTCTGGGGTGAGTTGTGTATGGCTTTGAATTCATTCCTGAGTTTTCAGGCTTTGGCCTGAACCTGTCCCCTAGGCTCATCCCTCTGTAGGAGGGTGAGGAAGGAGAACCCAGAGTGTTTTTCTCCCTTTGGAAAGGAAAAGTACTGGAACAGAAGTGGGGGTGGGGTGGGAGGTGCACATGTGGGCGGAGATGTGGGTGGGAGTCTAGAACAAGCCCCTGTTTCAGATCAGATGAAGGGACTGAGGCTTCTTGGGGCCTAACCAGAGGCTAGGGCTTTGACTTTCTGGCCCTTGGGTTAGACAGCTGCTAAGTGTCCCTTTTGTTCAGAGACATGTTCATGATTCCAAGTCTAAGCTTTGGAGCCACAAAGTCCAGAATTGAAACCTGGACTCTTTTACCTCTAAGCCTTGGTTTCCTGGCTCTGTAAAATGGTTGTAGGAAGGACTGCATGTCTGTCTTGTGGTACTAAATGGGTTAAAACTTTTGGCACATACCAAGCACTCTGTAACTACCTGTGAGTTGTATACATTTCTATGTATATTATGTTATAGAATACATCTAGATAGCAAAAGGTCGCCACAGTGAAGCATGTTAAGGTATCTCACTGACTCCTGTAGTTACACAGCTAAAGTCCTTTGAAGTGGTAATATGTAGTATTTGGTACTACAATTAAACTCTGGCTCCTCAAACTTTAATTCCCTGGAGAGTGTGTTCAAATGTAGATCCGAATTTTGTTGGCCCTTCCCTCTTTCCCTCCTCTCCTTTCTTTTTTTTGTGCTGAGATTGAACCTAGGACCTTGCACGTGCTAGGCCAGTACTCTGCCACTAAGTTCCCTTTCTGGCTTTGAGCTTTTTGAGACAGGGTCTTACTATGTGGCTCAGGTTGGCCTTGAACTCCTATCCTGTTGTCTCAGCTTCTGGTGTGTTGGGATTTCATATGTGTACCCCAGAGTCCAAGGATATGCCACATTTCTAACCAGCTCCCAGGTCTTGATGCTGTACCTGGCTCCACACCTTACATAGCAAAGGATTGGAGCTGGCAAAGCACTTGACTGCTTTGTGTCTTACCAGCACACACTGCTGTGAAAGAGCCAGGGGGGGGCAGTCTTAAGAGCTCCAGTTTTCAGAATAGGTGACTATTTGAGGTGGAGGTCAGACTTGCTTGACTTGGGAGGGTTGTAAATAGGACTCCCACCAGCCATGGCTGAAGGGATCAGTTATAGGGTTTTGATGGACCTAGTTCTTACACAGCCACTCTTTTGACCTTCCAGATGATTCCAAGGAGCCCAGGACCTTCCCTGAAGAGATCCAACCCTTGGTTAGTGCTGTAGACTTTTACCTCCCACACTTTGCTCTTCTATAACACACTTATTGAGAGGGGGAGAAAAGACAGCCCCGTGCGGCAAAAATAACAGGATTTGAATCTATTTTATGTGTCTCTTTCCTTTCTTTCTTTCTTTCTTTCTTTCTTTCTTTCTTTCTTTCTTTCTTTCTTTCTTTCTTTCTTTCTTTCTTTCTTTCTTTCTTTCTTTCTTTCTTTCTTTCTTTCTTTCTTTCTTTCTTTCTTTCTTTCTTTCTTTCTTTCTTTCTTTCTTTCTTTCTTTCTTTTTTTCTAAAGACATGGTCTCCCTGTAGCCCCAGCTGGCCCGGAACTCTGCTCTATAGACCAGGCTGGCTTTGATCTCACAGAGATCGCTTGCCTCTGCCTCCCAAGTGCTGGGACTAAAAGGCCTGTGCCACCATGCCTGGCATTTGATTCCATTTTGTAAGAAGGCTTTTTACTAGGGCCCTGGGTACACTTTGGGACAGGCATGGCAGGGCAAGTTGGCCATCCTCCTTGTGGAGATAATCACTGTGGACCCTAGCCTCTTTTCTGTGCATTTATAGCTGTTTCCCTGCACTAATATCAAATTGCTGATCATTCTGTGAACTGTCCGTTTACAGTAGCCCTATTTTCTCTCAATTTAATGCCCTCATCGGTTGTGTAGGCTGCATTCTGCTCCTTTTATTGGTGAAAAAATTGTAATTTTTTGATTGCCTAAAATTTTTTGATTGGGTCAAGCATCTTTGACATATAGTCTCTGAGTAGCTCCTTAGGATAAGAGTCTTAAGATTTGAGTTTCCTGAAGGGTGAGCAGGCATTGCCGCATGGCTTCTGATATTACTCTAGAATACACCTGTAGCAGCTTGTGGGCGCACCCTCCCCCCAGCCCTTGCTCAATCACATTAATTTCCTATTTAAGACAGATGTACTAGAAAAGTCTAGGATGAGGATTTGGGGTGTACTAGAAAAGTCTAGGTTGGGGATTTGGGGTGTACTAGAAAAGTCTAGGATGAGGATTTGGAGTATACTAGAAAAGTCTGGGCTGGGGATTCGGGGTGTACTAGAAAAGTCTAGGTTGGGGATTCGGGATGTACTAGAACAGTCTAGGTTGGGGATTCGGGGTGTACTAGAAAAGTCTAGGATGAGGATTTGGAGTATACTAGAAAAGTCTGGGCTGGGGATTTGGGGTAGCATAATTTTGAGAGGTTGCTGTTGGTCTCTTACTCCAGGACCATATGGTTTAGTCAAGTCTCCATAGATCATTGGTGCTGGGTCCCCTCCAAGCCAGCTTCCTCCCTAAATGTGCTCAGTATTTTCTCACCCCCCTTTCTCTTTCAGGTTCCTATAAATAATCACATCCCTGAGGGGGCCGAGCCCGGGAGCCGCTTCCCCTCAGAATCTAAGGAATTGGAGGAGAATGAAGTCATTCCTAAGAGGCTGTCACCCTACGAAGAGGACAAGGATATGTCCAACAAGGTGTCCATGTCCAGCACCGCCCAGAGCAGCAACATCTTTGAGAGAACTGAGGTCCTGGCAGGTAAGCCCCTTGCTCCTCCCGACAAGCCCGCACCTGTGAAGAAGGCAAGCTGGTCAGCCACCCCCCCCCCATCCCTTTAGCCCTTTAGTTTGCCTTGGGGCACCTAAGGGCTTTATCTCCCTTAAGGGGAGGTTGTGAGGGAGAGTTGCATATCAAAGGCTTCAAAAGAATAAACTTTGAATTGCTTCCTTAAGCCCCCCAGGTGTTTTTCCAAAGCCTTTACCTGGACTGGGTTTGATATCTGGGAGTTAATCATTAAAGGGTTAACTTCCCTTGGGTGCCTGGAGGCCTAGGGAATTAGAATGACTTCCCTTCCGCCTGTGTTGGTATGTATTACTTGGTAGCCTTGTGGCCTTGGCTGAGAAATTTTGAACTGGATTTACCTCAGTATACTCATCTGTAAAATGGGAATATTTTCTTGAGTTCATGAAAGATAACATGAAATTCCTTTGCAAATTGTAAAGGTCTGTTCTGATTGTTAGTGATATCTCATTGAATCTTCATTGTACAGCAGGACATAGGATATCCTTATATGACAGAGTAGGACACTTAGGCTTAGAGGTTCTTGATGATGTGTTGGTTGGGTAAGCACTGCCCCTGGTGAGGCTTCTGGAGTGCCTATGTCAAGTCTGGCTGAGGGGCATCAGTTGTGGTGGTGCCTCAATAGGAGTGGGTCTCCACAGCAGGTTGTTGGAGGAGGTGTGTGTGAGGGTACTTTCCACAATTACACAGGTCTATTGACTAGAGAGCCAGTCTGGATGAACTTGCTTGCTGAGTAGGTGTCCAAGTCTTGGGTAATTCCTGTTTCCTGGAAGCTAGCTGGACCAATAGCTCTGAGGAGACTGGGATGTAAGGAAGGAACCTAGTGCCATTTATCAGTGTCCCACCTCCATCCAGGACAGGTGAAGCATCTTGCAGACAAGACTCCCTTGGAGGATAGCTCTGGTTACATAGGTCATGGCTCAGCCCTGCCCCTGGCCTCCTGGTATCTGTCAATATTCTTTCCAGTTTTCCCTCACCAGTTTAGATGACAACGTACAAGACGGTAAGTTGTTAGACTGAGGGACCCTTAGAGACCACTTGGCCTTAGAAGTTTTGAGTTGCTTTGTGAGTATATTTTAGACACAAAGCCCGCCCAGCTTCCTCCCATCACAAAGTCTCACTCTCAGCCGTCATATATTATTTACATTTGTGGTTATTTTAGATTTGTTCATTGAGTTTTGTTCTTGGCAATCTCCATTGTACTGCTTCTCAAGAAAGCTTCCAAAACCCCTAATCTAGCCCAAGCTGATGTTTCTTCTTATTCATGGGGAGACTGAGGTCCTTTGATCACATACAAGAGAACTGAAGCCAGAAGGAGCTTTCCACCAGCACAAGATCCTATGAGAAAAGATGTGTTTTCTGGTAGCAGTCAAGGCTCAACAGCAGCTGAGAGTATGTCCTCTGTTCCCATAGCTTTTGAATGGCACCCAGAAGTTCTGTTAAGCATATGACATGTGAGTCCCATGTTCCTCAGGTACATGAAATGGAGTTTGACCAGTGACATGTGACTAGTCCTGGTCCACAGCCAGGACACGTGGCCTAGTGTTTGGTTTACCTGGAGTACAGTTGACTTCTGAACTTGTGGCTGGACCTTGCCTCCTATAGGGTATCCCGCACAGACTGAGGGCCTGAATGTAGGAAGGAAAGATGACGGAAACAGGAATGAGGGTGATGCCTGGTACCCCATGTGCTTTGTCTAGTACCATCTGGAGGTACCTTGTTACTTCTTTCTATAGGATTTCAACCAAGAGAGAACCTTACTTGCTTCTGTGCCATTGCCCCACTCTATGTGTAGATTTGTAGTGTGTACAGGGATGGGAAATTAATCTTCTTAGCCCGAGTAAGAACCAGGACTGAATTAGGGGACTCAGTGTGCCACAGAGAGGATTCTGTCAGCCACTCCCGACCCTAACAGACAGGAATGAGTCATTCAGGCCACTTGGCACAGTGGACAGACAGATGCTCACCCAAGACAGAAGCCCCCCTCTGCTCCATACCAGCCAAGTGCTCTTCACTGAGTCGGACTGTGAGTGCCATTTATTAAGTACTTACTGTTGTTCAGGCCTAGTTCTGGGTGCTGGGGACGCAACAAAACCACAGCTCCTGAGTCTTGAGCATATGCACTGTACTGGGAACTGCTCTAAGCACTTTAAGCAGATCAATTTATTTAATCTGTAGGGGAAAATATGAGAGGATCTCCTCTTGCCATTTTGCAATGAGAGGAATGGGGAGCTTTCCTTGTTAGACACAGTAGGTAGGCGAGGTTAGAGTAGAAACCAGTGAGAGAGAGAGCCTGTGTAAGACATGGGAACACAACCATGATAATTGTCGTTATCTGGGCCATAACAGTGTGGACATTGCTGCATTGCCTGTCAATAGATATGTAGGTCAGGATAGGTATGTATCCACACAGGAAAATCTAGAGAACATGCCGTGTTATAGATACCCTGTGTTATAGAAGTGCCTGTGTGGATTGCTATGGCCTGTCACTAATCTTGTTCCTGGCTCACAGCTGAGCTGTTGTTGGAGGGTCTATGTTTAGAAAGAGGCTGAGCTTTGGACTAAGGCAGGTGTGGGATGAAATAGTGGTTTTGCCCTATGGCCCACTGTAACTATGGTCTTCAGTGATTTGCATACTTAGTGACACCCTTGTCATAATGGAAGTCATGAGAGTCACAGTTAATAAGGTGTCAGCTTGCCTGGTATAGGGGCCAGTCGTGGTGAGGTTGTCTGGCCATAAAAAAAAAAAAACAAAACTGACTCAGTGGAAGAGATACATACAGCCAGAAGTCCCAAAGAGTGGCTCTTCCCTTACCTCCCTTTTTTCTTCTCCAGCTCTGATTGTGGGTGGTGTGGTGGGCATCCTCTTCGCTGTTTTCCTGATCCTGCTGCTGGTGTACCGCATGAAAAAGAAGGACGAAGGCAGCTACGACCTGGGCAAGAAACCCATCTACAAGAAAGCCCCCACCAACGAGTTCTACGCATGAAGCTCCCCACGGGTGCTGCTTGGACTTTAATGGGGAGGGGAGCCAAAGGATTGTGGATGGTGGGCATTAGTAGGAGGAGGGCACCTTAATACTGACTTGTCAGTGTCTCCATCTCTGGTCACCCTTCCAGTGTCAGAGAGACATCATCTTCTACTGTGCTGCCGCACTTTTCTTCATCCTTTGGGCCTCAGTTGTCCTGACAGAAAAATGGAGTTAAATTTGGTCTTTCTGAAGGCAAGCCTGGGATTGGGTCATTTTTTTCAAATTTCCACATTAGAGTCTAGGATCAATTTAGAGCCTGTTTGGAACGTGCCTCAACTGGGACCACCTGGAAGCTGGAAGCGAAGGGGTTACTGTGGGAGTCCTGGCTAGCTGTGTCCAGGCTGCCTGATCCCTTTGTGCCACACCCTGTCCATCTGTCATGGGGGATGGAGCTAGAACCCTTTGCCCCTTGAGGTGTGCCCATCTATGGGTGCTCGTTCACACTATGGAGTCTCTGTGGTATACCTTGGGCCATTCTAGGCTCTTTCAAGTGACTTTTGGAATTCATCCTTTTTTATCTGGGGAGGGAAGGAGGGTGGGGAGAAATACTTAAAGTTCACGCTGAAATGGATTTGTAGAATATTTGTATATCTATTTTTTTTAATGGTTCATTCCTTTATGCAGTGCCTGTTTCCTGGGCAAAGAGTGTGGAGATGTAAAGATATGCTATCTGGCATATTTCCACTGTACATGCTAAGTTTGTGTTCAATCGTTTTTATGTTTTGTTTTTGTTTGTTTTTTGAAAATAAGAGCTGGGATATGATTTTTATTAATTTTTTTTTACTATTTATAGCTTCAGATAGGGCTTCTTCTCTCCTCCTTTTTACAAATATTTCTTTGCCCCCCCCCTTTTTTTTTAATATTTCCCACTCATTTGCTTATGACTTTGGCCCTTTCTGAAGTTGCTTTGTCTAAGAAATAGCTTTTGCTGAAACATAGTATTCTAGCAGATCCCAAAATATAATGTAGGGGATGGCGGGGTATTTGTGTATGTGTTCTCATAATATATTATTCTTACTTGGTTCTAGAAGAATAGATAAATATATTTTTTTAGGATATAGTATGATATTATCAGTTTTATGTTGGTTGGGTGGCTGAGTGAGTGTTTTCATGTGGCTGGGTAGATTTTTGCCCTCTTTTCCTGCCTTGTTTCTAGTGCCTTCTCTTGATTGAGCCAGAGTAGTTGAGGGTAGCTGATGCTAACCCTCTTTTTGCCTTCTGCCCGAGGCCCAGCAGAGGGATTCTTGGGTTTCCTTTCTTCAGGCTCTCTGGATGCACAATCCAATACAGTAACCACATGTGGCTGTATAAATCAGGTCAGTTCTGATCATGTAGTTTTAAAATTCATTCCTCAGTTGTACTGGCCACACTTTGAGTGCTCAGTCACCATCCATTGGGCCCATTGTTAGGAGACTTAAACTGGCTTAGTGAGTCATTAAGCTTTCCTTGTCTCCCTGGGCAAAGGAAGGGGACCAGGAGGAGGGTGACAAGGCTCCCAATGGGACCTGTTATCTGATACTCTCCCTCCCATAGAGGAGAGACCTGGTAGCTTAGCCTAGGGTACGTGTGCAGAGATCATATGCTCTTGCTTTACCCCGTGGCTTATAAGCTCCCATCACCACCTCAGTGCAGGATCCCAGCTGGCTGGGTCTTCTTCTGGCACAGTGCTCTTTTCCTTGGGCTGTGTTACAATGAGCACCTTTTCTGTTCCCCCCCGTCTCACACTATTGTCTGTTACTGATTTTTTTTTGATAAAAAGATAATAAAACCTGGTACTTTCTAGATTGTCTGCTCTGTCATTTAAAAAATATTTAATTTATTTTTATTTTTTTATTTTATGGGTATGAGTGTATTGCCTGCATGTGTATTAGTGCACCCATGTCATGCAGTATCTGAAGAGGACAGAAGAGGGCATCAGATCCCCTGGAAGTGGAGTTACGGATGGTTGTTAGCCCCATGTGGGTGCTGGGAATCGAACCTGGGTCCACTTCAAGAGCAGTTAGTGCTCTTAACTGCTGAGCCATCTCTCCAGCCCCTGCTTCTGTCATTTAAAAAGTTATAAGAAGTCATTCCTGGGGGGACTCTGTACCCCTTGAACTCAGTGAAGCATGAGAGAATTACCCTGACCAACCCCCTCTGGGGTGCCAGACACAGAGCAAACATGAGAAAATAGGAGGAAGTAAAGAAAGGGAAGAGGTCAGAAACATACTCCCGGTGATCTGGACAGCATACCATGCCTGTCTCTGTGTTTTGGTCAAGCAATACCATGTTTAAAAACAAATACAAGAACCCTTGAATGGTGGGCCTACCAGACTGCACAGCTGGTAAAAGCACGAGCTGCTGAAACCTGAGGACCTGAGTTCAATCCCCGGATTCCACCCTGGAAGGAGCGAACTGACTCCAAAAGTTGTTCTTTTACCCCTACATGTGCACACAGGTACCTGCACTTACACATATCATATACACACAATAATAATAATAATAATAATAATAATAATAATAATAATAATAATAAAAAATCAAAATTAAGATAAAAGAGAATTCTTGAATAAGTTGTTATCTATAGAAATCAGGATGTTTCTCATTCAAGTTCAGATCCCTCACTTTCCTCTTGTGAGGCGACACCTTCCCACCATATGAGCTCTGTCACACACAAGTGTCAGTCACCTCAGGTTTCAAGTCACCTGCCTGGCCTCTGCAGGTACTATAGTTGGCAGGTGGTTGACAGCTTCCTGTTCCCATCAGTGGCAAAGAGCCTTTCACCAAAGGGATAAGCTGTCTTTGGGTTGGATCCTTAGTCAAGGCCCATGGACACTGGTGGTTGTCCTTTGGTACCTCCATGTTGCCCAGCGCTTCGCTGGACAGTGTTAGGCTGTAGGTTGAGGCCTCTGTGTTTGGACTTCAGCGTCCACCAGCTGCTTCCTTGCTTCCCCACCACCTGTGGAGAGGTCAGAGACGGACACAGTGCACGCATCAGGAGCTACACAAATCAGGAGTACCATCCTTTGGGTAAGATATTAGCTCCGGAAGGCTCCTGTACTCGTTATCTATTGCTACGTAGAACTTATGGGCTAATGATGACAGCAGTTTCTGTGAGTTAGAAGTTCAGGAGCAGCCTAGGTGGGTGGTGGTGGTGGTGGTGGCAGTGGCGGCAGCAATGTCCTTTTAGAGGTTATGGGCCAGATGCTGGCCAGGGTTATAATCATCTGAAAGCCTGACTGGGTGGGAGGATCCATTTCCAAGAAGGCACATTCACATGTCTGGAAACTTGGCATTAGCTGTTGGCAAGAGGCCTCAGTTGCTCACCTCATGGATTTACGTAGAGCTGACTGTGTGTTCTCCTGACATGACAACTGGCTTCTCCCACAGTCAGTGATCCATGGGAGCCAGGTAGAAGCTGCAATACCTTTTATGTCCTAGCTTTGAAAGTCACACACTACCTTTCATAATATCTCGTTAGTTATATAGGTCAGTCTTATTTATCATAAGGGTAGACTCCATGAAGGCAGGAATAAATACCAGGAGGCAAGATTCACTGTTAGCTGTGTTAGTCAGACTTTCATTGCTGCAACAGAATATCTGAGAGAAACAGCCTTTGGGAGGAAGGATTTATTTTGACTCTCAGTCCCGTGTTTCTGGGTCTGTGATGAGGCAGAACAGCATAGCAGAGGGGCATGGTGGGCCAATGGTGCCCCCTTCGTGATGACCAGTGAGCAGGGAGAGAGGAGGGGTCAGGGACAAGGTATACCTTTCCACAGTGACCTGCTTCCTCAAACTACTTTTCTACTTTTTACAACCTCCCAATAAAGCTATATTATAAGTTTATTAAAGAATTAATTCTTTGATTAGGTCAGAGGCCTCAAGATTCAATCATTTTCTAAAAGCAGTTGGTAATCAAGCCTTCAAAACTTGAGTACTCTATTCAAACCAAAGAAGAAATCATCTTAAAAGTTAGTGGCTATGCCCTCCATTACCTGTCAATCCTGCACAGGGGTTAGTTTGGCTTGCAAACTAACACTGATTGGTGTATTATTTCTGAGACTTGAGCAAGGAATACAAAATGGATTCTGAATAATATTGGGCCATTTTTTTGTTCATGGTCAGTCAATGTCCTGAGGCTGTTGGAGCACTGACCTCATGGGAAGGCTTACAACAGATCTCACTCTGCTGATAATTTGCTACAGATCTTTGGGGTGTAGGCAGAACTCCAAGACTGCATCTAAGAGTTCTCTTCCCCATAGTGTACATAACTTACACAACTCCCTTCTCTTGATTGTGGGTAGACCTATAAACCTGTAAATTCTGTAGGATGGCACTAAGTTTATAATAGGTTATGTTAGATGGCACAGATAAAGAGATTTTGCAGATGCATTAAATGTCCTCAAATTAGTTGATTCTTGAGTTAGTAAAAGGATTATTCTGGATGGGGCTGACTCAGTCAGTTGGCTTCAGTGGAGCAAGGTGCTATAAGTTCTATAGCTTCAAAAAAAAAAATAAACAGTCATGTGAGCATAGAAGAGGACTTGTTCCTTAAAGAGATCTTGATTATAGCTGTGGGAGACACTCAGCAAACCAGCTAAGCTGTGCTTGAACTCTGTCTTTGCCTTCAGTTGCTGTGATAAAAACACTGACCAAAGCCAACATGGAGATGGGAAGGGCTTATTTTATTTTACATCTCCCAGGTCATAGTCCATCATCAAGGGAAGTTAAGGCAGGAACTCAGGACAGGAACCTGGAGCATAGACTGAGGAGGAACGCTGCTTATTGGCTTGCTCCTCTGACCTGTGCTCAGCCTGCTTTCTTATACAACACAGGATCACCTGCCCAGGGGTGGCACCACCCACAGTGGGCTGGACCCTCCCACATTGCTCAACAATCAAGAAAATGCTCCACAGATGTGTTTACAAGGCTACTCCAAAAGAAATTCGCTCTTCCCAAGCATGTCAAGTTTACAATGGAGGCTGTCCAGCACAGACTCCAAGGAAATTCGGGACAACGCATGTGTGTTGTAACCTCTTACTTTTGTGGGTAGTCATTATGTAATAGAAAACCAGTACAGGAAGGTCACTTATCTCCTGTGGTCTACCATTTTGCCCATTTGTCAAGCAGAGGAAGAGTGCAGTATGTGGTTCACTTCTAAAAGTGGTTTTGGAGTAATACAAATATAAAGTGGTTACCCTGGGTCAGGCCTCGTTGAAAGGGATTCACCTACATTTATTATTTGTTCCTCACAGCCCTTTATGAAACAAAGGCTATTATCCCAATTTACAGAAGTGGAAACTAAGGCCCAGAGAGCTTACTTGTCTTGAGCTTGCCAAGCTTACCCAACTAGCAAGCACAGCTTTGACTCCAAGTTGTCTACTATGATTGGATCTATCTGCTATTAGAGCTGCTTTTCCTCATGTTAAAATGAACCCCTGAAAATACACGTACATGTGAGTGTGAGAAAAGACAATAAGTTCAAGTAATCTATTAAATATACAAAATGTATGTATACCCTGACAAAACTAGTGTATCCAGAACATCCCATCTAGCTCGAGGTGTTAAAGGTTCACTTAGCACTAACAGTCAAGGTCCAATATTATTTATTATTTTTATTTTATGTGTATGAGTGTATTGCCTGCATGTAAGTGTACTCGTGTCATGCAGTTCCCAAGGAGGTCAGAAGAGGATGTCTGATCCTCTGGACTTGGAGTTAGCATGATGGTTTTAGCCACCATGTAAGTGCTGGGTGCTAGGAACCAAACCAGGGTCCTCTGTAAGAACAGTCAATGCTCTTAGTCAGTTATTATTTTTATTTTATGTGTATGAGTGTATTGCCTGCATGTAAGTGTACTCGTGTCATGCAGTTCCCAAGGAGGTCAGAAGAGGATGTCTGATCCTCTGGACTTGGAGTTAGCATGATGGTTTTAGCCACCATGTAAGTGCTGGGTGCTAGGAACCAAACCAGGGTCCTCTGTAAGAACAGTCAATGCTCTTAGTCAGAGTATCTTGCAGCTCAGGCTGGCCTTGAACTCACTATGTACCTAAGAATGACCTTGAATTTCTAGTCCCCCGACTTTACTTCTTGAGTGTTTAGGATTACAAGCATGGACCACTGCACCTAGTTTATTCGGTGCTGAGGACTGATTCAAGAGCTTTGTGTATGCTAGGTAAATACCCGACAAACTGAGCTACATTTCCAGCTCTCCACTCTAGTCCTCCTCCTCCTCCTCCTCCTCACCCTCCTCCTTGTCCTCCTCTTTTTTTTTTTTTTTTGAGCCAGGGTCTCACTATGCAGCTCTGGCTTCTGGCTGGCCTGGAATTCACTCCCTATGTAGACCAGCCTGGCTTCACACTCACAGAGATCCACTTGCCTCTGCCTCCCAAGGGCTTGGATTAAAGATATGTGCTACCATGCCCAGCCACATGGTACTCTTTAGCTAGGGTTAATCCATGAAGAACTTGGTCACAAGGCTCTGCCTTCCCCAGAACTTTGCCTGCGCCCTCCACTGTGGCAAGTGACCAGCTGCAGCAGGTTTTTACCTGTTCACCCACTGAAAGCGTTATTGTACCACCACTACCTTTCTTTTGTCCCTTGGGGTCTGGAACAGAGCCAGACCTGACTAGGGGGGTTTTGTGAGTGTGGATGCATGAACAAGTGGGTGTGGGTGTGCATGTGCACATAGCACTGGCCCTTGTCAAAACCTGTAGATACCATACCCGTTTTCACTTCCCCTAGAGCCACTTCCTTTCTCTATTGTCGTCTTCATGGTCCATGTCCTCAGATAGTCACATCCTCCCCAGGGAGGAAATGTCTACAAATTTTACCCATATTGTTGTTTTAACTAATTTCTCTTTGTAGAGAGAAAAAAAAAAGACTGAGAAATCCCTAGGTCAGTGCTTATTACAGTGGGAGACTAGTCAGTGTCAGGACCCCAGCATGAGAGATGGTAACTGGGACTTTGGATCTCTCTTTTGTGCTCCATCCTCTCCCTCCCTCCGCCCTGCAACATACACACCTATACTCCACCCATCCTTCACCTATAGCTCCGTGTGGTAAAATGAGAGCTAGAAGAATCTCACAACCACAGATTTTGTGTCAGGAGTGCAGGACAAAAATCAATGATAGGCTTTGCCGTTAACCTGCTGTGAACTTACCCCCCTCTCTTGGATCCTCAGTAATGATTCCTAACTCTTGATTTTTCATTAGGGTCACATGGGAGTCTTCCAACAATACAGTTGCCCAGGCTTCTCCCTCAGGAGTTTCAGTGTGATTGGTCTGGGGTACAGCCTAGGCAGCTCATTTTTACAGCTTATTTAGTAACTCATTCCAGTGAAATAAACTTGCCCACAAATGGACTTTAGAGTGTTTGTAAATTCTTTGGAAGTGTGGAGGAATGAGCATATAAATTTCTGAAAAAATCCCCCAAACATGAAAAAGTTTAGGACTATCTTGAAGGACACCTGCTTTTACAACTGACTGCAGTGCTGGTCTGGAGGCAAATGGTGCCACCTGGTGGTTTTACTTTGCACTTGAAATAGCAGCATCTGCCAATGTAGCCCGGTTCCTTATTAGGCACCAACTTAATGTGTGAGGCCTTGTGCTGCATCCTTTAGGACAAGCAGAAATTTAAAAAAAAAAAAAAAAATTTCCAGAAGAATCTGGTAGCCTAGAGGGGGCAGTTCAAGAAACGAGACAACACACTGACATAAAGATAGAAGCCTGTGGCCAGGGCTGGCTTTACAGGTGTGTGTGTGTGACCTGTTCTTAGAAGGGCTCTGTACTTTATTTCATCATCTGTTCCTGTCTTGAAGCTACTAAAAAGATTTGAACAAGGGGATCATGCATTTTCATCTTGCACTCGGAAAATTGGGAATACCTATGGAAATTTCCTGAATCTGGAAGGCAGAGCAGTAGAATTAAAGCCTTATTTTAGGAACAGAAGAGGTCCCTCCACATTGGTGATGGGGTTTTGAACTGGGATAAAAGATGGGATGCTGTGAAGAGGATGGAGTCGGGAGGGGGTTTGATGCCAACTAATTCAGACTCAGGTAAAGGAGGATCTGCAGGGATTGGTCCAGCAGCTGGAACTCAGAAAACAGGGCCGGGTTGGAGCTCTGAGGTCAGACTTATAGGTGGGTACCTAAGTGGAGCCAAGGGTTCCAGGGTCTCCCTAGAGAGGTAATGAAGACAGAGCTGCATGGCTGGACCTGGGATATCTGGGCCACCTAGGTTCTTGACTTCTAAGACTCTGGCCTTGGGACACAGCTGAGGACACCTAGAGGGCAGGCCTGGATGGCCCTTGAGCCCTGTTTTCCTCATGGTGTATCATGAAACTCCCTTTCACTTCCATCTTGTTTCAACACCACCATGGCACAGTGACACAAACTCTTTAAAGCAGGTACTCCAGTGGGGGACATATCCCATTCAAAATGTGTCCTGCATTCCTCAGCCAAGATCGACCTTCAGGGGCCACATGAGCCCTGGGCAAGCTTCTCCCACAACCTTCAGAGTGAATTTAAGCTTGTTGGCAGAAGAGGACAGAAATCTGTGAAGACTACGGAGTCTTAAGAACAAATCTTATTGGGGACTGTGAGTTACTGCTTTCTTATGGGACTCTCCATATTCCGGGGGTAGGAATCTTACAGGGAATGAGCTCTTCCTCTGGGAGTTAAGGAAAGTTCCAGATTGTTAGAACCCTGAACCCATATTTCTGACCAGAAGCTGGCCCCTATATGTATGTCTTTGGTTCTCATAGCCTAAGCCAGGACCCTGCCTCATTTCCCTTTCCCTATAAACACAGAATAGGCAGAATGTGGGCAGGCTGATCAGGGAAAGGCTATGGTTCAGTTCATGGGCCTTATGCAGAGAAGCCCCTTTCCTAGTTCTATTGTTGCCCAGTTGCCCCCCCCCCCCAAGACTTCTGTCTGACTTGTCCTGGGAAAGTTTTGGTTTGAAGAGATCCTATGTTTATCTCTGTGTATAGACTGCATTCTTGCTTGGGGTGGGGTCTAGCTAGTCATTGGCTGCAGGAGCTGACTAGTGGCCCTCCTGGCTCAGGATGTCTGCTGCCTCTGAACTCCATTCTTCACCAGAAAGTGTCATAAAGTCTGCTCCATCGGACTCTGACTAGGACAGAGCTTGAGGAGCACCGATGAGCAATTGTACCCCTCTGTGTTCTCCTTCATCCACACCTGGAATACAGGGGAGTCCTTGATCCTCTAGGCTACTTCTTACAGGGTCTGCAAGAAGAAGTGACTGGGGGTAGGGTGAGGAGGGCAAAACCTGACCACCATCCTTGGCACCTGCCTAACCATCAATGTTGTGGGCAAGAAAGCAAATTCAGGCAAGAGTGCTGTGATGGCTCATCCATAGGAAGTGTAGGGAGGGGCAGATCATTAGTTCCAAGAGGGACTTCAGGTAGGACCAGTGTCTCAAGACATGCTAGCCTTACTTTATGTCTAGACTTTATGAAACTAAGTGACTTCTCTTCAAGTTGGGACACTGATGCCTGTAGGGAAAAAACCCCAGGCTTGGATCCTCAGAGTGTGACAAAGCCACAGGAAGAGGCAGATAGAGCCAGAGATGGAGGCATAGGGACATGTTAATAGATCTACAAAGTTACAGAGGAGACAAACACAGGAAACACCACCACTGTGAACACGGACCAACGGGTCACTCTTGGTTACCAATTCCTGTATGTCTGTGGTCGAGTAAGTGACCCGTGTGAAAGGGGGTTTGTACTGCAAACCTCCTCTTGCCCCTTCATGACAAAGAGGCAAGAAAGCAGGGCTTGTGGCCCAGAGGAACAGCAGGGCACCTGCAACGCACCTAGGTCTGGATGAAGAGGTGGAAGTTGGTGCGTGTGAACTCGTGATGGATGCTCTCGAGGAGTGCGTCCGCGTCGGTAGCCGGCTCGGGCACTCCAGTTGGCCGTGGCCGTGTGCTGTATTCCGGGGTGTATGTGAAGGAGAAGGCGCTGGGGTAGAAGAGCCCGTCTGCGCGGACCAGGCTCACCGGCACTGTGATGGGAGTGCGCAGCCAGCGCCATTCACTGCCAAAGGCGGCCACGTCGGGCACCACGCACACTAGGGACCGCGGGTTCCTGCGAACGAGGCATGGAGGTTAGGACAGGATGCCAATCATCCTACCCCCTGATCCTGGGGGCCCAAGCTGTTTTCCCCATGCCGTACCTGTACATGGTTTCTGCCTCCACATCTCCGAACCACACCTTGAGCCCGGTGTGGAAGTTCTCTCCCTGCAGTTCCAGCGTGGCCACGTCACCCCCACCACTCAGCTAGCGGAGGATGGGACCAGATGAGGGTGATAGGGTCTGGGGCCCATCCCCAGAGCAGGCAGGCTGCATGTCCTCCAGCTCCCAGCTGCCGAATGACCTTGCCCGACTCACCTCGAGGGTGCTGATGAGGGGCACCGGAGTGACTGGCTCCCGAGTACAGGCCAGGCTGGTGCTGAAGGAGAACTCCACCGACTCGGTGCCGATGATGGTCCAGCATGAGCTGTCGTTGAGCAGTGCCTTGTTGGCTTCCTTGGGACAGAGGGAGGCCTGGGAGGAGAGCCAAGGTTTGGAGCCGAAGTTTTGACAGTGGTTCCCAGTCTAATCAAATTTCCGTTCTAAGCTTTCAAGGTTATCTGCCCCTGGGAGCTTGGATGAGATCCTTATGTTTTGTCTTATCTTATTATTTTTTAATTTTTAAAATTTATTTAAGTTTTTATTTTTTATGTGCATGAGTATATTGCCTGCATGTGTGTAAGGCACCTGTGTCACACAATGCCTGAGGAGGTCAGAAGAGGGTGTCAGATCCCCTGGAACTGGAGTTACAGTCGATTGTTAGCCGCCATATGGGTGCTGGATGTGTATCTGTGTGTACAAGTTTGGTGTGTGTGTGTGTGTGTGTGTGTGTATAGGGTAGAGGCTGATGCCAAGGGTCTTCCTCAATGGCTCTTCACCTTAATTTCTCTCTCTCTCTCTCGTTCTTTTTCGGAGATAGGATCTCACTATGTATCCTTGGCTGGCCTGGAACTCCCTATGTAGACCAGGTTGGCCTTGAACTCATAGAGACCCACCTGCTTCTGTCTCCCAAGTGCTGGGATTAAGGGTGTGCACCACCACATCTGACTACTTAACCTATTTTTTTTTTTTTTAATTTGAGTCCTAGGGACTCAAATTCAGGTGCCAGAGTTGTCACAACAAGCCATCTCCCCTGCCCCAAGATTTTAAATTCTCTCACTTAAGGTAAACTAAATTCTTTGAAGCAGCTAATTTTCTAATATACTTCTTAAGATTTTGTCTACTTTTTGAGGAGGAGTGCACTAGGGTTGAACCTAGGGCTTTACGCATGCTAGGCAAGCACTTTACCACTGAGCCACATCTCCAGTTCTCTTTTTACTTTTTATTTTGAGGCAGGGTCTCACTAAATTGTTCAGGCTGGCTTTGAACTCACTGTAGCACAACAAGCCTTGAACTTTCCATTTTTTTTCTGCCTCAGTGTTACAAGTAATCTTTTTAAAGAAATAAGATTTATTTAATTTTTGTGCGTGTGTGTGACAGTAAGTGCAAGTGACATGTGCGGGAGTGCCAGCAGAGGCCAGAAGAGGGAATCAAATCCCCTAGAACTGGAGTTACAAGTGATTGTGAGCCACCTAGCTTGGGTGCTGGGACCTGAACTCTGGTCCTCTGGAAGAGCAGCAAATCCTCTTAATTGTTGAGTCATCTCTCCAGTACCACTATTTTTCAAAAATTATTTAATTAAAAAATTTTATGTGTATGAGTGTTTTGCCTGCATGTATGTAAGTGTACTATGTGTGTGCAATGCCCACAGAGGCCAGAAAGGGTGTCAGATCCCCTGGCACTGGAGTTTCCAATGGTTGTTAGCTGCCATGTGGGTGCTGGGAACTGAACCTAGATTCTCTGCAAGAACAGCCAGTGCTCTTAACTGCTGATCTGTCTCTCCAGTCCCTATCTATTATCTTTTAATATTTTAATTCTATTCATTAACATTTTACAGTTTTAGCTGGGCGTGGTGGTTCATATCTATAATCCTGCACTTGAGAGGTAAGGGCAAGAGGATCAGGAGTTCAAGGCCCGTCAGCTACTCATAAAGTCAAGTCCAGCTTGAGCTAAAAGAGATGCAGTCTCAAACAAACACACAAAACAAAAATAATTCTACAATTTAATACTTTTTGGAAAGGGATAATAATAATCATAATTGATGTTTTCTATGCATTGTGAATCTACTAACATTCTAGGATAACAGTCTTTTGGAGTATTAATTATTGTTTTTCACACTATACAGCTTTGTTTTAATATTCTATAGTTTTATTGAGTAATATTCAATGCTATTTCCTATTATGATGTTATTTACATTTTGCAATTTTATATCCCAGTAGCTATGATTCTACCAGCCCTTGGGAAGGAGTATTGTTCCATAATAGTAGTTACCATTATTTCTTCTACACTTTATGACTTTGACCTGTGGGAGGCAGTATTGCTCAGGAAGCATCCGCCATTATGGACAAGATCTCACATTCTATGCTCTCTTTATTCTAGGATGCATGGTATTCTCACCTGGAACTGCACCACCTTCTCTGTGGCAAGGCATAAGTAGGTACCACCCCCTCCTGGAGTGTCACCTGGAAACTGGAAAGCACACTTGTGCAGCTGGGATATGGGTTCATCCACATCGAGGAGGGCGCATTGTTTGGCTACTTTGCGAATGATCTGCACAAGAAATATGGTAGGAGAATGGTGGCAAGGTGCTGGGTGACCAGCGGCTGCTGTCCCAGCCGGGCTGTGCTACTCTAATAGCCACGAGAGCACAGGCATATTCCCATTAAGCACTGAGCAGTCCTAGAGTGAGAGTAGGACTTCGTGCCTTGAGGCCTCACCCCCATGGAGACCTCCCATGGAGACCACACTTCTGTAGAGATCTGTGGATACCCACACAGGTACAACCTTCCTCATACCATAGGAGGCAGCGTGATGCCTGTGACTGTGCAGACAAGCTGCACCAGGGAGCCATAGCGGATGTAGCCCTCTCGAGGTGGGAAGTCCCCGGGGGAACAGTGCTCCTCAGCTGGAGGTGAAAGAGAGCAACAAAGGTTTCAAAGGTTCCACACTTCTGCCCCAAACCCTGCCTCCTTTCCTTTGGCTCTACCTCACATCATAGGTGGCCCTGAAAGAAGCAGCTAAGGCTGAAGATTCTAATCCAGGAGAGGTCATTTGTGGCCATCCTCACAAAGGTCTGCTCCCTGGTTGCAGGCATTTAGTTGACTTAAGGGGCAAGGGTATGGCCATTGACATCAGAATAGGTTGGACGGGTCATGGAGTTACTAGGGCCATGGGCAAAGGGCCAGTTTACCTTCCTTTAAGATCTATTACGGAGACTAAACCTGTTAACATGTGGAGCACCCAGCCCACACCTGCTCTTGTGATTACCCAGGTGGAGTGTGAAGGCAGCCCACTGTCTTGCGCTGGCCACAAAAGCCCCGTCTTCCACAGAGAGGTAGCGTGTGGACACTGTCTGGGAGCGCAGGCGGTTGAAGAGGGAAACCTTTGAGCCCGAGGAGATGCATACTGTGAGGGGAGGTGGAATCAGTGGCCTGGTCTGGTGCGGTCCCTTAGACTCCCCAGATAATCATCAACCTCCTGTCCCCTGTGACAGCTTAGCTAATATGTCCACTGGCTTGGACACACTGGGCATTCACATTTTATAGCTATTCATCTAGAGCCTGCTGCAGTCCTGCTTCTGAGCCCCTGCCTGCTCCTTGGTGCTGCTGGACATCCTTGGGTTCAACGAACAGAATCTCCTTAAGGCACTCAGGGCCTGTCTTGTGGCGGGCACTGTGCTGGGTACTGAAGTGGGAATCAGATCCGGCTTTGCTCTGGAAGAGTTGCACATAAGTGCAAGCTGCTAAAATGATGTATTAAAGGCTGAATTAAAGAGGCTTTCTACGGGCAGGGAAATGAGCAGACAGGCTTCGCATACACGATTGCTCAAACAAAGATCATGTGGTATGAAAAAACCAACATTTTTTGTACACCATCTACTTTTCTTTCTTTGTGGGCACATGTCTTTGTGGGTGACCTCGCCTGTGGGTGACCTCGCCTGTGTGTGCATGCGTGTGGTGACCAGAGGTTGACTGAATATCTTCCCCTATTTCTCTACACATTATTATTATTATTATTAATATTATTATTAAGACAGGGCATCCCTGTACCCCAACTGGTCTGGAAGTCACTATGTAGACCAGGTTGGCCTCGATCTCACAGAGATCTGTCTGCCTCTGCCTCCCGAGTGCTGGGATTAAAGGCGTGCGCTCCTATGCCTGGCTCAACCTTATTTTTTGAGACGAGGCTTCTCACTGGACTGAGTACTATCCGTTTTGGCTAGAACTGACTGGCCAGAGAGCCTTGAGGATCCATCTAGCTCCATTCCCTCAGCACTTGGGTTATAGGCATGGGCAGCCATGCAGCCATGTTTAACTTTTACATGGGCGCTGGGGATCTAAAGTTAGGTTCTCATGCTTGTGCTGTAAGCACTTTACCCACCGAGACGTTATCCCACCTTCTACTTTTCTAAATACAGTATTAGGTCATTTGGTTCTTCCAACAACACTCTGTAGACCATACTATTTCTGTATAAGAGACCAGCGTTGCTCAAGATCAGGCAGCTAGTGAATAGCAGGACAGGATCCAAGCCCAGATCACCAGTCTCCAGATTCTACACTTAACCATTACACTTTGCCACCTCCCACCCACTTTTGCTTAGATCTGGGACATTCCACAGGATTTTTAAATAACAGGAAGTGAGGGGCAGGTCTAGGGGCTGGATTCTAGAGTCACATTGACTTATGGTCACTTCCAGCTGGGACACTTCGTAGGTGGGCAATCTCACACAAGTCACATGAATTTTGCTAGACCTGAATCCTTCCTTCCTTTCTCCCCGCCACCCACACTACCTCCCAGACTGACCTAGAACTCAGGATACTTCAGTTTGGGTCCCATCATCTGAGTGTGGAATTCCAGGTGTGAGCTATCATCCCTAGCTTACATACCTCTTTAAGGTCATCCCCCCATTTAAAATTTTTCTTTGTTTTTCAATATTTTATTATTTTTGTTTATTTACTTTATTTTATGTGTATGAGTGTATTGCCTACATGGATGTAAGCATGCTCCCATGGAGGTCAGAAGAGGATGTCGGGTTTCCTGGAACTGTCAGATCCCCTGGAACTGGAGTTATGGACGATTGTCAATCACTCTGTGGGAGCTGGGAATCAAACCCGGGCCCTCTGCAAGAGCAGTCAGTGCTCTTAACTTCTGAGGCATCTCTCCAGCTGGTTAAGGTCACTTTTAATCTGCCCGGAGTTTGGCACCTGACTGCATTTTTTGGTGTGTTCTGAGGCCTTCTGCGGCACCCTCTGGTGCCCACCCCGCTTTCTCTGCTTTCACACCCCTCTCTCCAGGTATGCCTTTTCTCCATATCTGAGCCAGACTCCTCCCTTCTCTGGGTTCAGACCCCACTTCTCACCCTGCACGTCTCCTCCCAATTTAAGATTTGATTGCACTGTCTTCCCCCCACCCCCCTTCTCTCACGGTCGGTGTTTTTCAGCGACTGCTTCTTCTGCGAGGGCTTGGAGATCACCTTGATGAGGCGGCTGTGGAAGGTACCCAGCTCCCGGCCCCCTCGGAGAACTAGCCGCAGCACCAGCCGGAAGTGCTTCCTCTTGTCGGCGTCAGAGATGTACAGGGTCTTTGCACAGCCGAATTCCTACGGGGCGCGTGAGGATGGAGCCTGTCTCGTCCCAATTCTCCGCCACGCGATGAGTCACCCTCCCCGCTTCCCGGGTCCCATCAGAGGTGACCAGAGGCTGCTCAAGCCTGGCTCTCAGGTTCAGCTCAGTCTCCAATCAGAACCCCACCCTTCCGGCCTCTTCTCTCCAAGCTTCTCAGAAAGGGACTAAGAGAGCTCTCTTCTGCAAAGGAGAGGCTGGGATGGGAGCAGGAACTGGACGCTGTCTCATGCGATCTCACCCTGGAGTCCGGCTGCTCTTCGAAATTCAACTTTTGCGTCTCGCCAGCGCTACTGGATGCGCCGTCCAGTCCCATATAGCCGCAGACTGTGGGTCCGGTCTCTGCAGCCTGGTGGGCTGGAAAAAGGACTAGCGTGAATTCTGGAAGGAGTCAGCAGTCAGGTGCCAGGCAAACTTGATTCTCGACACTAGAGGGCGCAGCGAGACTGGGCCTGCAACCCCCTAGCCCCGGGTCCTGCTGAGCTGGTCCTTCCTGCTGGGGAGGACAGCCCACAGTCCCCGGGGCGCCCTCACCTTGGCCTTGCAGTGGTTTCAACCTCCAGCCCGGACCCGCGAGGTAGACACAGGGAGGGGGGCAGAAGAACCTGTGAACACAGGGAATGCTGGAAATCATCCCCACGGTCTTGCGAGTCTCAAGACAGCATAAACCCAGAGAATCTTGATTATTTCTCTTCACTCCTTGAGTGTGAACCCCATTAACACAAAACGTCAGTAAGTCCTACCCAGTCTGCCTTCAAAACACATCCAGAATCGATTGGCTTCCCACCACCTCCATGTTGGTCCTAACTATTACTTTCTGCCCCACAGCCTCAGCCTTCCAGCTGTCTCTCTGTTATTATTTCTCCCTCTTTCACCTTATTTTTCACACAGCAATCAGGCTGCTTTTAAAAAACAACAGTGTGCCGGGCGTGGTGGTGCATGCCTTTAATCCCAGCACTTGGGAGGCAGAGGCCGGAGGATCTTTGTGAGTTCGAGGCCAGCCTGGTCTACATAGCAAGTTCCAGGGCAGCTGGGGTTATAGGGAGACCCTGTCTCGAAAAGATAAAACAAAACAAAACAAAAAAACCAACAGTGTGTGTGTGTGTGTGTGTGTGTGTGTGTGTGTGTGTGTGTAGCTGGTGAGATAGCTCAGAGGTTAAAAGCACTTGCTGCCCTTGTAGAGGACCTGAGTTCCCAGCACCCACACAGTGGCTCAGACTAGCCTCTGAGGGCACAAGACACACATGGTGCACATGCACACATACACATAAAATAAAAATAAATATTAAAAAACAAAATGAAACAGTTGGATCCTCAAGATGGCTCATTAAAGCCTTTCAGGAGGTCAGGAGCAAGTCTGATGACCTGAGTTCTATCCCCAGAACACACTTAAAGGTGGAAGGAGAAAGCCAACTCCAAAAAGTTGTCTTCTGACCTCCACAACCTCCATTGTGTTGTGGCATGCACATATACAATAATAACAATAAAATTACAGTATAACAGTCAAGCTGAGTACGGCGGCTCATGCCTGTAATCCCATCACTGGGGGCTGAGTAGGGATAGGGGCTGAGGCAGGAGAATTACAGTGAATTCAGGTCCAGCTTGGGCTATAGAGTGAGACCTGTCTCATCCCCTCAAAATATATGAAAACATGAGTCAAATCATGATGCCTCTCCTCTTAAAATCCTTTAGCGGTGGCCAGGTATGGTGGCACACACCTTTAATCCCAGCACTTGGGAGGCAGAGGCAGGGAGATCTCTGTGAGTTCAAGGCCAGCCTGTTCTACAAAGTGAGTTCCAGGCCAACTGGGACTATGGGGAGACCCTGTCTCAAAGAAGACCAAAAAAAAAAAATCCTTCAGTGGTTTAAAATTCTAAGTCCTCACATGATTTGGGTACAACAGTTTATGTTTCCAATTTATCTCCTATAACTTCTCCATCCTCTGTCCAGCTACTCTATATTTTTCAAATCCTGCAAGCCTAGTTGTAGAGGTCCTTGCATAGTTGGAACATACTTCCTGGTGATTTTTCATGTCTGTCTTCATACAGTATTAGCAGTTCCAGTCCCACTTCCTAAAGAACTCTTTGATCTTTCAAACTGAAGTAACCTCCTTTGGCTTCCATCAGGTGACTCTGTTCTGTTTTCCTTCTAGCTCTCATCAAAATCTGAAGTTCCTTGTTTGCTAATTTGTGGGGCTGTAACAACTGCCTGCCTCTTCCACATCTGGAAGGAGAGACTGTATCAGTCTTGTTGGGCTGGATGTCTGGTGCCCAGCAGTTGGCCAGAGTCTGTCACATGACACATGGTAAGTAGCTGAATGAATGGATAATGGCTGGATGGCTGAGGATGTGGGGATTGGAGAGTCACAGTGATTCTGCTTTAGACCCCATTGTGTGTGTGTGTGTGTGTGTGTGTGTGTGTGTGTGTGTGTGTGTATGTGTTGGGGGCTACTGTTGGCTGAGGGTCCTGGCTGACCATAGCTGAGGTTTTAGCCTTGAGGCCTTCAGGGTGTAAAAGAGACTAAGGGGTAGGGGAGGTTAGAAGGGGTGCATGGAGCTGAAGAGGCACCTACCGCTTCTCATTTCCATAAGATTTCTGGGCCACCTTGGCATGCAGGATCCGCACGGTTTGCTCACATCTGCGCTGCAGGCATGTACGCACACCTTCTCTCAGGATGGTGGCATGCTCTGGGGGTGACCTAGGAATGGGGACAGGCCAACCAGTCACAGCAGGGAGAGTCAACTGGTGAGGTGGTAGAGCCTATTGCCCAAGGTGAGTGATCCAAAATAGGAGAGATGAGGCTGTTTGATTCCCCAAGGGGCCAGGGAAAGCAGTGTTAGGCAAAGGAGATGACTTGAGTACAAGTCACGGGCTAATTTTTGGGCTTTGAGGCGCTCCATGAAGCCTGAACAGAAGCTCAGTGGGATTACCCAGGTGTCACTCTATGTGTCTGACTCCCTCCATGTTGTAGTCTAGGGCCATAGCTGTGTCACAGAAGCTACACATGATGGCACTCAAATGGAGGTGGGATATGTGGAAGTGGTAATTAAGACCTCAGGAGGTGAATACACAAGGGGAAACAACCTTTGCTGCCTGGGGGTCCAGGGCACAATCTCAGTTCCTGCAGGCAGACTCATGCAAATATGAATGAGGCTCCAAACTGGGACACCAGGATGGGGGGGATCTGAGTCTTTCAGAGGCCAGAGCAACACCCCTGGTTTTCATGAGAATTCTATTCGTATATGGGTTTTTCTTTCTTTGGTTTCAGGAAATCGAGACATTGGCCTTGCAGGATGAGCCAGGTCAGTCCTCCCGGGTCTGTGGCTTTTCAGCCTGGGTGAGGGTGGGTGTTCTCCAGGCTTGCCCAACAACAAGGGGCATTTAAAGGAGTGTGTGGTGGGAAAGATTTGGGGAATTAGCAGGTTGGAGCCTGAAGAGAGCTAAGAACTCCGAAGCTGTCCTTTTGAGTCCTTTTTCTCTTTTTCCCGAGTCTCGGTCTTTCATCACTCCTGGAAGGGACAGCAGAGGGCAAGAGTCGGGCGCGTCCTCGGAAACCCAGCCAGGCCAGGCCGGCGGCGGCCAGGACGGCTCCGCCTCTTGGGGCTCTCCTCTGGGAAGTGAATGGTGGAGGATTCCAGAGCATTCCTGCTGCCGGGAGTGTCGCCTCCCGACTCCTGCTGGAGCTGAATTCCGACCCTCAGCTCGCGCCTGCAGCTCTGAGAGTGGCAGGAGAAGGGGGCTCCGCGCTTGCCCCGCCCCGGTCCTCAAAGGAAGGGGGGCCTCGCTCCCTGCCAGTGGGAGGGGTCGCAGCCCGAGCTCCCCCTCCCCACCCGCCAGCCCCGGGTTAAATGCGGCTGCCGCCTCTGCTCGCTCCAGCTGCCTGGCAGTCCCCACCTAGGGCAAGCTGCCCACGCCGTTACCTGGTCCAACTCCCCGGGAGGCTCCGCGGGTCGCCTCCGCTCTGCAGCTGCGCCTCTGAGCTGTCCAGCAGGCTCAGGTGAGTCAAAGGGCCCGGGGGCACTGAGGGGTCTGCAGGGGAGCAGGCGGAAAACCGCATTAGGCGACAGTACTTAAACTCAGGTGCCCACGTCTGACCTGCGGTACCCTTTTCCTCTTCTGTAGGATGCTTTCCAAACTGAGCCCCCTCCAGCAAGGCCGACTAAATGGGGGCACTCCTTCCTTAATCTCCTCCCTCCAGGGTCTGGCACGATGCCAAAGTGTTCATTCCTGATCAGCACTTGAAGAATTCACAGACCTCCCCTCCCTTTCACTGGTTTGGGAAGCGTCCTCTTTAACCTCAGAGGAGTCCTGGGTTCCAGTGTCAATCGAGTGGGCCACCACCTCAAAGGGAGACTTAAGTGAAGACCCCCGGCCCCCTTGGTGAATCTACTTTCCTTTGTGGAATGAGGGGTTTGGAAAGACGAACTCGAACCAGTCGCTATTTTGACTTTCTAGGATTCCTGGGGTTGAGGTAGGGTGGTATCAAGTGCATATTTAAGGGCCTAGAGACTCCTGCAGGTTGGAACAGCACTGAGTCAAAAACCCCTTGAGCTTTTACACAGATGCTACTCAGGAGTGTTGGCCTGGGCCGGCTGGACGACGTTCCCCACCCTTCCACCTCCACCAGCAGCTGGCACGTCTAGCTAGCTCAGTCACCCTACCACGACAGGCCCTGCCAGAACGATTTGTGTTCCTCCACCAGACCTGGAAACTAAGAGGGGATGGGAAGGCGGCCTGGACCGAGAGGCACGCAGGGCCTGGCTCAGAATGGGCCCATTAACGGATCTGGGGGGGCGGGGCTGCAGTGGGTTAGGGGTGCTGGCCAGCCTCTGCCAAGAAACAGCAACAGAAAAATGGATAGAGCAGCCTGAGCGTGCTGTGCAGGGGTGGGATAGGGAACGGAAAGAAAGGGGGTTTAGTGACTCCTAGGTGCCCGGGGAACAAGGCAGCCCTGGAGGGAGAAAGGGTAGGCTCAGCTCAGTCTTCTTGGGCCTCAAATTTCCCATCCGTGCAGTGTGTGCGTGCGTGTGTGTGTGTGTGTGTGTGTGTGTGTGTGTGTGTCCCTCGTGATTCTCAGGGGACATCCTTAGAGGCTGTGGGAGGGTAAAAGCTCACCTGTTGCCTCCGCAGGGTCCATGGCTGCTCTGAGAGGCCAGGTTCGCTCTCTCACCTCCTACCCTCATATGGGATAGATCTTGTCCAAGCCTTATCGCCAAGGTCCGGGACTTCCCAGCCCCCCTGTTTGCTCTGGGCAGGCACACCTGCTGTGCAGATGTGGGCTTCCCACGGCAATGTCCAGACTCAGCATGCGCCCCCTGGCGGCCTCTCCTAGGAGCAGGCTGTGACCTCAGATGCTAAGCAACTTCCCCAGCTTGGTGGATTTTTGGCCCTGCACTGGTTCACCACTCTCAGACTGGACCCAAAAGAGCGAGTTGCTCTGTCCCATCTCCGGGTCTGTGGGTGAGGTCCAGAGTTCCTGTGTGAAGAGCAGAGGAAAAGTGGTGTGGAATGACTATTGTCTGCAGAAGGAGAGAGTGTGGAGCGCCTTGGTGGGCTGGCTCACAGACCAGCGCAGCCATGTCCTTGCTTCATGACTTTAAGCTTAAACATTGAACTTTAAGCTTCTGTTTCCAAATAGGTACAATGAAGCCAACAGCAGCCTTAAGTGTCAGAATTGAAGAGAAGACCACTAAATGCCACGGTGGATGAAGCATAGTTAACACTATAGTATTTTGGAGGGCAGTTGAGATGGTTTAGTGGGTAAAGACTGATGACCTGAATTTATTCCTATGATTCTCAGAATCCATACTGAGGAAGGAGAGAACCAACTCCCTTAAGTTGTCCTGTGAATTCTACATGGGTGCTGTAGCGTCCGCATGCTACAACAAAAAGAATCTCTTGTGATTCTTAGTAACCCCAGTGTGATGACACTTTTTATTCTGAGACATTCTGAACATACCCAAAAATAGAGATCGTGGAAACAACAACAACAACAAGAACAAAGCCATGACTCTGCCTTCAAGCATATATCCTCTCAAATTAGAGCTCAGCCAACACTCGGCTTTACTAATGTCCTTCCTACCTCCAGGCTGTGACTCCATCCTCCAAGTACCATGAGGGGCCTTCTTTGCTGGTCACTGTCTGTGCTGCTGCTCTTTCTCCAGCCCTGGGAAACTCAGCTCCAGTCCACAGGTGAGCAGGGGCCCCACCCTCGCTGTGGGAGGAGGGGGCAGAAGCAGTTCCTCCATCTGCTGCCAGCCAGGATTGCCAGGGAGAAAAAAGCGAAGGGCTTTGGAACATACAGAGTTGAGTCTGAGTTCCCCACTTCACCTCTCTAGGGCTCACTTTCCTCACCTGCAGTGTGTGGCTCCATTTTGAGTTCATGCAAAACTGTCCATTTGGTTTAATGTGTTCAATTTTCATGAAGCTTATTGAAAATATGGGAAAATGGGAAATTTCATATAAAAACACTGATCTGAGAATTTTCTTGAAAAAAAAATCAAAGTCCTGTTAAATATCTAGTTCACATGGGTATATGACAAGACGGTGCTGTAACTACCCACGTTAGGAGGAATACAGCCATTTGGGGGTGCTCATAAATCAAATACAAACAGTTCATTTATACTGCCTGCCTGATTGCTATAGACATTTGAGTTTGGGACAGCTCCTCAATGGGTAATGATCCTCAAAACAGCCCTCTGAGCTATAGAGAGGGAAATTTGTCCCATTTCCTGGCTCTGATGGACGAATGACCAGCCAACCGTGCGTCTGGTAGGTTAGTGGTATGCTGGGCGCTGCTCCGCTGGGATAACAGAATTTCTTTCAGGTTTCCCAGAGAGAAATCAGCTTTTGTTGACCATTCCCCATCCCCTATCTCCCTGCAGGTCCTAGGTGCGACACTGGGCCTCTGGATTTGGTGTTTGTGATTGACAGCTCCCGAAGCGTGCGCCCCTTCGAGTTCGAGACCATGCGGCAGTTCCTAGTGGGTCTCCTCCGGAGCCTGGACGTGGGACCCAACGCCACGCGCGTCGGCGTGATCCAGTATTCTAGTCAAGTGCAGAGTGTGTTTCCGCTTGGCGCCTTCTCGCGCCGCGAGGACATGGAGCGCGCGGTCCGCGCCTTGGTGCCGCTAGCGCAGGGCACCATGACCGGGCTGGCCATCCAGTACGCCATGAACGTGGCCTTCAGCGAGGCCGAGGGCGCACGCCCGCGGGAGGAGCGCGTGCCGCGGGTCCTCGTCATCGTAACCGACGGGCGACCTCAGGACCGGGTGGCCGAAGTGGCGGCGCAGGCGCGGGCCCGCGGCATTGAGATTTACGCGGTGGGGGTGCAGCGAGCGGACGTGGGCTCTCTGCGCGCCATGGCCTCGCCGCCGCTGGACCAGCACGTCTTCCTGGTTGAGTCCTTCGACCTCATCCAGGAGTTTGGCTTGCAGTTCCAGGGCTGGCTGTGCGGTGAGTCAGAGCGCAGGGAAGGATTCGAGTTTGCATCCCGGTTAACCCCTTCCTGTCCCGGTGGCCCGCGCTTGTCACCTCTGTCCGCCTTCCAGGTAGAGTGATCAAATTTCAGATTTGGTCCGCAGCATTCAGCTAATCTTGCTGGATCAGGGACTAGCTGTGCCCGGTGAGTCATGTGTCACTCCAGTATCAAATGCCTTTAAAACAAGAATCAGCAACACTCACTAATGAGAGCAATTGTCTGTCAGAAGTCATGTCCCGCCCACCCGAGAATGACTCCTCCCACTCTAAGGCCTGTTTATGAATGCTGTGAGATCTCTTCTAGTCACATTTATTTATTTAAAAAATATTTTATTTATTATTATTTCGGGGCTGGAGAGCTGGCTCAGCGGTTAAGAGCACTGACTGACTGTTCTGGCAGAGGATCCGGGTTCAGTTCCCAGCATCCACATGGTGGCTACTAGCCGTCCTTAACTCCAGTTCTAGGGGAATCTGAAGCCTCTTCTGACCTCCTCAGCATTGCATGACACGGGTACACTCACATACATGCAGGCAATACACTCATACACATGAGTGTATTGCCTGCATTTAAGAGTTGTGCAATGCCCAGGAAGACCAGAAGAGGGCGTCAGATCCTCTGGAACTGGAGTTACAGATGGTTGTTAGCTGCTTTGTGGGTGCTGAGAACTGAACCCAGCTCCTCTGCAAGAGCAGCTAGTGCTCTGAAGCCCTGAGTCACTCTCTAGCACCCACACTTATTTTCTTCACTTTTATTTTTTGGAGACAAGGCTTCGGATCTGATGTGTAGCTGAGGCTGGCCTTGAATTCTTGATCCTCTCTAAACCTATCTCTCAATTGTTGAAGTTACAGGCGTGCTCCATTGCCCTGACATTCTAGGCACACTTTGAATTACTCCATCTACTTTGATTTAGTACCTCTCCACCTCCCTGCATCACCCGGACCTCTGTAGTCCCACTCAACCCCACTCACACATGTGGTCCTGTGTCCTTTTCTCAGACTATTTGGCAGGGACTTCTCAAGCTCCATTCTTTCCCAAACCATCTCAAATGCACAGACCCATACCCATATCCTACTTAAGGCTATACTTGAGGATGGTGTCTACTTTGGAGCCTTCTGCCATCTGGCCTTCTCACTGGAGGCTTCGGTCCATCTGTTCCCAGCTGATTCTCATCCTGTGTGTCCTCAGGAAAGGACCTGTGTGCTGAATGGGGACATGGCTGCCAACACCATTGTGTCAACGCTCCAGGAACCTTCTACTGCACCTGTAACTCTGGGTACAAGCTAGCTGCAGATAACAGGAACTGTTTGGGTGAGAGCCACCCCTGCCCTGCAATTTCATTGTTCCTGAACCTTGTTTGGCTTCCCAGAGTCAGAGCCATGAGTTTGACCGGTCCTTTGGAAGTTAAAAGCACACCTCCTTTAACTTGAAAGCCTTAGAAAGAGGAGGTATTATTTGGGGTCACACAAGTCTTTGGTGGACCAGAACTACATGAACGACCCCACAGTTAAATGTGCTTTCTGGACCCTTCTCCTTCATTCAGCAGTTTCCTTCCTGGCTCCAATCTACCTCCCAGTCTTATTTCTTCTGATTCCTCTCAGGCATATCCTTCCAGTTTCTGTTACTTAGACACTGTCGGGATGTCTTCAGTTAGGTGGGCCTCTCTACCCTGAATGAGGTTTACTCTTACTTCTGACTCTCAGCTCTCTCTATGGGGCTCAGCCAGGCTCTCCTCTGAAAATCTTTCAAGGTCTTGTTCTTTACTTTTGTCTTCTGAAAAGCTATGATGCATGATGCCTTACTTATATGACTGGGTTTTCTTTTTGGTGAATATACGTGTCTATTTCTGTGATTGTGTATTCTACCACTTGGAGAGAGCCAAGTTAGAATCAGACACTGTGTTCAGAGCCTTCTGTGCATTCATAACAACTACTTCCATAATTTCCGCTTCACAACAACCTGGAAAAAGAGGTCATGTGGTTCCAATGACCCAGATGCTACCTGGGTCTTTTCCTTCCTTCCTTCCTTCCTTCCTTCCTTCCTTCCTTCCTTCCTTCCTTCCTTCCTTCCTTCCTTCCTTCCTTCTCTTTGAACACCCAGAGTTTCAATGAAGGTGCTGTGGAAAGTCTTTTCTAACCTTGAAATTTGCTGGTAACCAAGTTATCTGGGCTTGAGGGGAACTAGGACACAGTGGAGACTGAGTATGAGAATGGAAAGGAAATTCCGATAGAGGTACATTTCGTGACGACAGATTTTAAATTGCTTTTCTTTGTTTGTTAGGTATCTTCAATTCGAAGCACATCTATACAAAAGGCAAATGATATCACTTGTGGAAGTTCCAGTGCCTAGGAAATTCATGGACTTGTGCAAAAGTGTTAAGAAAGCTTGTTCTCGACCAATAGCTTGCTGATGGAAGTTTATTACCTAGAACCAATGAAAGATCTGCTATGGACTTGATAGTAGGCTGATCTTTCTTTTCGTTCTTTCTTTCCTTCCTTCCCTCCCTCCCTCCCTCCGTCCTTCATCCCTCCCTCCCTCTTTCTCTTCCTTCCTTCTCTCCTTCCTTCCCTCCGTCCATCCCTCCCTCCCTCTTTCTCTTTCTTTCTTTCTTTCTTTCTTTCTTTCTTTCTTTCTTTCTTTCTTTCTTTCTTTCTTTCTTTCTTTCTTTCTCAGGGTCTCCCTGTAGACCCAGCTGGTCTGGAGCTCCCTATGTAGAATAGGCTTGCCTCTATCTCACAGAGATTCCTGCCTCTGCCTCCCAAGTGAGTGCTGGGACTAAAGGTGTGTGCTACCATACCCGGCTCCACTTTATTTTTTGAGATAGGGTCTTTCACTGAACCCAGAGCTCACTGATTGGCTTGACTATTTAACTATGAGGATCTGCCTGCCCCAGTGCTAGGGTTATAGCTACCACACTTGACTTTTATGTGGGAACTGGACACCTGAACTCACATCCTCACGTTGTAAGGCAGACATTGTAACTTACTATGTAGCTATGGCTGGCCTTGAACTCACTATGTGTACAAGACTGGCCTGGAACTTATACAGATCCACCTGCCTCTACCTCCTGGATGCTAGGATTAAGGGAGTGCACCACTACACATAGTTTATTCTTTTTATTTTTTTATGTGTATGAGTGTCTTACCTGCATGTATGTAAGTGCACCCGTGTCACAGTGTCTAGGGAGGTCAAAAGAGGGCATTGTATCCCCTGGAACTGGGGTTATAGATGGTTGTTAGCCTCCATGTGGGTGCTAGGAACCAAACCAGCTCCTAAGCAAGAGCAGCCAGTGCTCTTAACCACTGAGCCATCTATCCAGTCCCCAGTTTATTCTTAAAGAGTACTTCAGGTAGCTGTGCTGCTAGATTGTGAAACACAGCCCTGAGCAAAGGCTGTCCTCATCAAGAGCAGCTCCTAAGCAAGAGCAGCCAGTGCTCTTAACCACTGAGCCATCTATCCAGTCCCCAGTTTATTCTTAAAGAGTACTTCAGGTAGCTGTGCTGCTAGATTGTGAAACACAGCCCTGAGCAAAGGCTGTCCTCATCTCTTCAGCCATTGACCCGTGTGCGGAAGGAACCCATGGCTGTGAGCACCACTGTGTCAATTCCCCAGACTCCTATTTCTGCCGCTGTCGACCTGGCTTTGCACTCCAGCAGGACCAGAGGAGCTGCAGGGGTAAGTAAGCCCTGTTGCCTTGCCCTTGCCAACATCCTGGACTGTATTCAATCAGAAGGCACATCTTGCCATTCTTCCTTTCTTCAGCCATTGACTACTGCAGCTTTGGAAACCACAGCTGCCAGCACGAGTGTGTGAGCACCCTCCTGGGGCCACAGTGCCACTGCAGAGAGGGCCACGACCTGCTGCCTGATGGGAGGAGCTGTCAGGGTGAGGTGGTATCTCTCACATTTGTGGGGGTTATAGCTGATAGAGGCTACCCCAACTCATTCTTCTCTGTTTCTTTTAAGTCAGGGACCTTTGCAATGGTGTGGACCATGGCTGTGAGTTCCAGTGTGTAAGTGAGGGCCTCTCCTACCGCTGCCTGTGCCCTGAGGGGAGGCAACTTCGGGCAGATGGCAAGAGCTGTGACCGTGAGTTATAGGCAGAAGTGGTCTGTCCACTCCTGCCCTGTTGCCTGCATTTTGTGTCCCCTCACTTTGTCCTCGTTGTAGCCCAAAGATGTAATGTGGATGTGCCTATGCTGTAACATGGATGTTGGAGGGTGTGTTTGTGTCTGATTCTGTTGCTTTTTAATCAGCCTTTTACCCTGCTGCCAAGATTGATTTCAAAATCCACATCCAATCATCTTCTCCCTTCACTCAAAACCTTTTTGTGGCTCACCAGTGTCTACAAAATAAATATCAAATGCCTTTATCCCTGAGATTTTCCAACGGTTGGGGGCAACCACATTAATGGATAATGAAATCAAATTAGTGGGATAAAACCAGCATTTAAAAAGAAAAGAATGGAAGAGAAAACAGTTTCCTGAGTTTAGGAAGTAAGTATTGCTTCATGAAGCTGAAGTTTAGTTACATGTAAGCACAGGGAACACATCATGATATATTATTATTCTCATTTTCATTGTGGCCTGTGGTCGATTTTGAAACCATCACTTTAGCTCATTACCAGATAGCTGTAGCCAACCCTTTTCAGACTGTCTCCTACTACAGTTGAACATTTTAGTCAGTCTGACCTGTCCCTTCCCAAATGTGTTGAGAGCTTCCCAGCTCTCATACCTCTGTATATGTTGTTTCCAACCTTCTAGATGCCCTTTCCTGCCTTGACAAATTTCTAATTGTCTTCAAGACTGTATTAGTCAAGTTAAGTTGCTATGACAGAGAACTGTAGACTTGGAGATTGTCTTAGTCTGTTGTCTGTCGTTATAATGAAAGTACCTGAGGTTGGGTGATTTATAAAGCATAGAGGTTTATTTGGTTCTCAGTTCTGGAGATCTGAAAGCATGGTCTCAGCATCTGCTGGGTATTGGTGAGGGCCTCATTGCTGATGGTATCACATGACAAGAGTGAGGAGAGCGTGTGTGAAAAGTGGCTTTCCTTTGTAACTACTCACTGGCATGGTCACTAATCCAATTACTTGAGACCTTCTCAATTCTTTGAGGTAGACATTAACACCCCCACCCCGACCCCGTGATGCCTGCATAACATGATTATTTCCCACTAACCCTGTTACAGCTTAGATATAAAGTGTTCCCTCTACCCCATTAACCCTGTTACAGCTTGGATATAAAGTGCTCCCTCTATCCCCGAAACTCACACATGAAAGTCCTGGTCTCTAGTGAAAAATGTTCAGAGACAAGGGTTTGGGAAATGATTAGATCATGATGGTTTGGCCTTTGTCAATGGATTAATCCAATGATGGCTTCAAAATGTGAGTAGGCCAGCTGTGGTAGTGCATTCCTTCAATCTTAGCACTCTGGAGGCAGAGGCAGGTGGATCTCTGTGAATTCCAGAACTGCCTGGTCCACATAGTGAATTCCAAGCCAACTTGAGCTACATAATGAGACCCTGCCTCAAAAAAAAATGTGGGGTCTGGAGAGATGGTTCAGTGGCTAAGAGTACTGGATGCTCTTGCAGAGGACCAGAACTCACATGGTGGCCAAAAACCATCTGTAACCCCAGTTCCAGGGAATTCAATGCCTTCTTCTGACTTCCGTGGACATTGCATGTCATGGGTGCACTTACATACATGCAGGCAATACACTCATATACATAAAATAAAAATAATAAATAAAACATTTTTTAAAATGTGAACTATTGGGCTGTTGGGATAATCAAACTGTAGAAGATGGTCCCTAGTTGCCTAGTTGGAGGAAGTGGGTCACCAGTGTCATGTTTGTGAAGAGATTACCCCCCGCCCCCGTTATAGGCCAGGCTGACATTGAACTGGCCATGTAGCTGGAGAGGACCTTGAACTCCACTGTCTGAGTGCTGGGATTGCAGGCCTGTGCTACTATACCTGGTTTTATGTGGTGTTGAGGATCAAACCCAGGGCTTCATACATGCTAAACAAGCACTCTACCAACTGCACTACATACCCAGCTCCTGAAAAGCATCTTTGTATATTTGTTTGAAGTGGGGTTTAGCTATGTACCTATGACTGCCCTCAAACTCACAGCAGTCTTCCTGCCTCAGTCTCCCAAAGGCTGAGATAATAGGCCTGTGCCACTAGGACTTACTTGAAGAGTGTCTTGACCTGGCTGCTTCCTGTCTTATAATGAAGTGTGCTGCTTTCCTTCACCTCACCTGCTGCTGCCACCTAAGACCAAAAGCAATGGAACCAGACAACCATGAACTGAAACCCTTGAAATCATGAGCTAAAATATTTTCTCCCTTAAGGTATATGTCTGGCATTTTGTCACAGTGATTCAGTCTGACTGACATGAGACCCCACCTCTTAAGGGTCTCACCACATCTCAGTACTGTTGCATTGGTGACCAAGCTTCTGGCACATTGAATTTTGGCCACAAATTGTATCTAAGCCATAACTGTGTCTTATGTCTCAGTTCTGGAAGCTCGAGAGTCTGAGACTAAGACGCTGGTGGATACAGCATCTGCTGAGGCTCTGCTTCCTGGCTTAAATACAACGGTTTCCTCGTTGTGTTCTCACATGATGGATGGCAGGAAGAAGCAAGCTCTCTAGGAACTCTTGCAAGGACATTGATTCCATTCATGACGGCTCTACCCTCAGGTCTGCATCTAATCCCAATGACCTCCCAAAGACTATCACCTTAGGGAAAAGAGATGTAGCCTACGAATTTTGCAATATACAATTATTCAGTCTGAATCAAAGACTAGATCAAATGCCACCACCTCCATACAGCTTTCCTCAGCAACTCAGGAAGAAGAAATTATTCTTGACTTGGGCTCCCTGCATGCCCCCTCATCTAGCACTTTCTCTAACTATAGCAGATGGCATGTCTGACTTACTCCACTCTATCCTGAACTCCTCATGAATCAGGATTATGTTTTCTTTGTTGTTGAGCCTCCTTCAAGGGACTCCTGAATCCCCTAGTTCAGAGCAAGGGAGGCAGTCTTATAGAGTAGTCAGGTCCAGCAGTTTGGGAGTCTGATAGACCTGGCTTCAAGACCTGGCTCAGTCACTATTAGCTATGGATTCGAGACAAATTGTTTTGTCCTTCAGAACCTCAGAGTATAGAGAATGAATATATTGCCTAAGATTACTGGAGGCATTGAGCAAATGCATAAAGCACATGGCTCAGTGCCTGACACATGGTAAATATCAGCAAATGATGTTTTTGTTGTTATTAATACTGATATGATCTTAGAACTGCGACCAATACATAGTAGATGATCAATAAATGATAGCCATGGTGGTTGTTATTACTGTTGGTTAATAAAAAGAAATGCTTTTAGCAGAGGTCTAGTTTGCACTAAGCACTTATAAATATCAAAGCCTATCACGAAGGATGATAGTAATGATGATGGTGATGTAGCACCCTGCTGGATACACAGAGTAAGGACTCATAACTGTTCTGCATTATACAGTAATTATTGACAAATGAATGGCTAGATGCATAGATAGATGGCTATTGCTAGTTAAGGGTCTGACCCCTCCATCCAAGCCTTCTTGTTGGCAGGGTGCCGGGAAGGCCATGTGGATCTGGTTCTGCTCGTGGATGGCTCCAAAAGTGTGCGCCCACAGAACTTTGAGCTGGTGAAGCGCTTCGTGAACCAGATCGTGGACTTCCTAGATGTGTCCCCTGAAGGCACACGCATAGGGCTAGTGCAATTCTCAAGTCGGGTACGCACAGAGTTCCCGCTGGGTCGTTATGGCACGGCAGCAGAGGTGAAACAGGCCGTCCTGGCTGTGGAGTACATGGAACGTGGCACTATGACAGGACTGGCACTGCGCCACATGGTGGAGCACAGCTTCTCCGAGGCGCAGGGCGCACGGCCTCGTGACCTCAATGTGCCTCGCGTTGGCCTGGTGTTCACCGACGGCCGCTCTCAGGATGACATTTCGCTGTGGGCAGCTCGCGCCAAGGAGGAAGGTGGGTTTGGCACCGGATACCCTGGGATGGGATTGAGGTGGAGTCTGGGAAGTAGTCCCCCAGGGTGCAGCCTTAAGTGACTGGGCCCTGTAGGCATCGTCATGTACGCTGTGGGCGTGGGCAAGGCGGTGGAGGAGGAGCTGCGCCAGATCGCCTCTGAACCAGCAGAGCTGCACGTGTCCTACTCTCCGGACTTCAGCACCATGACGCACCTGCTAGAGAATCTCAAGGGCAGCATCTGCCCAGGTGAGCGCTTCTTTCCGGGCGCCTGTTCTCTCACTGCCCAACCTCTGAAAGCTCTTCTCTTTACCACTCCACACACTCTTCCGGCACTCACCACACTCTGCACAGAGCCTTGTTATTTAAAGTGGCCACCAGCTGCAAGGCTGTCACCTGGTAGCTTGTTAGAAATGCAGCATTTCATGCAATCCCCAGACCCAAATGAATCATATCCTCAAGTGTTTTATGTCCAATATCAAAGTCAACGAAGCATCTGACTTGTCACTCAAATTAGTAGTGTTTAATTTGAAAAAAAAAAAACTTTAGAAAACAAGCCAAATTTAACATTCATAAATGGAATCACAGTATATATCCCTCAAACTTGCTGGAATTCAATTTTATGGACTTGGCAAAGTGATAGGACTATGTTTTAAGTACACAGAGACCTGTGATTTTTGGAAGACGTAGCCCATAAATGCAATTGCTCTACATCCGGTCCTCAGCTGGGGGAGAGGGATCAACTGTGCTTGAAGAGGGGTACAGCAGGGGGTGTCTTATAGGTGATAGAGAATTTCTTGGAGGTAATCTTGACAGTAGGATGTTTTAAAAAATATTTTATTATTTATTTTTTGTGTATGAGTGTATTACATGCATGTGTGTAAGCCCATCTGTGCCATGCAATGCCTGCAGAGGAGAAGAGGATCATTTTGCAATGACAGGATGATGGTTTCAGGAGAATGAATTATCACAAACTGACCTTGGAGCTTGTCTGAAACCTGATTCCACCGCCTACTCCTGCCTCCACTGATACTAATCTCCTTTCTTTAAAATAATTATTTTTATTTCATGTGTATGAGTGTATTTCTTACATGTGTGTAAGCCCATCTGTGCCATGCAATGCCTGCAGAGGTCAGAAGAGGACATCAGATTCCCCTGGAACTGGAGTTACAGACAGTTGTTAGCTGCCATGTGGGTGCTGGGATTCAAACTGGGGTCTTCTGCAAGAACAGACAGTGCTCTTAACTGTTGAGCCACCTCTCCAACCCCTGACAGTAGGGTCTTTAGATTCTAACCCAGGCTTAAGATTTGACTCTTTTTCAGTGTGTCAGGCACACCTACAGAGATAGGGGGCGTAGAACAGAGCTGTGCATAATACACTGGAGAATCTAGTTTGCTGTGATTCCTGTCCCACTTTCAACTCTAATAATTAGCTACGGTATTTTGAAAGCATTGGATTTCAGGACCTTCCTGCCCCGACTCTTACTTCTCCTACAGTGTGACTTGATGAGCCACTTAACTCCACCCTACCTTACCATCTTCTGTAAGAGGGAAGGATCCTCGATGCTACCTTCAGCTTTAGATTTCTAAGGGAAGTCTCGACACTCTGGTTAAGGCTCTTCATTGACTGGCTGTATAGTCCCAGGCAGATCCGTTACCTTCTGTGACCCTCGGTTCTTCCATTTCTAAAGTCAGAAGAGGTCTATGTGGAAATGCTATTGATACCAACAGTAATGTGAAAAGGTTTGGTAAGGATATATGCAAGACTGAGGTTAAGAAATAGTAGTTGAACTATAACAGCAACTTTATATGAAGGCTAAGAGTCAAGCATTATGTCCAGTACTTTATTACATGCCATGTTAAAACTTGGGGTTAGTGAGATTGGCTTAGCAGGTAAAAGCACTTGCCATGCAAGCCTAAAAACTTGGGTTTGATTCCTGGAACCCACAAAAAGCCGGATGCAGTGTCTCACATCTGTAATCCCAGCTCGCGTACAGCAAGATGGGAGGCAGAGATGGGACAGTCACCCGGAAGCTTGCAGGGTAACAAGCCTGGAATGTGCAACACAACAGAAGCCAGAGAGACTGCCTCAACAAGGCGGAAGGAGAGAACTGACTCCCGACAGTTGTTCTCTGACCTCCACATGACTGCTGTGGCATGCATGTGCCTGCATTCACACGCACACACACACACACACACACACACACACACAAGCATACACACACATACATGAATGCACACACAACATGATAAAAAAATGGCATGAACTTACAGAGGTACTATGACAAGGCTCACTATTATTTTATATACTGTTAAGAAACCATAGGTGCTAAGTTTAATTGTCTCTGCCTCTCAGGCATTGAAATGTGTGAGAATACGGACTTGGATCCATAGTTTAAACATTGCCATTGGAATCACATATTTCTGGTCTCCAACCCCCAGAGTTTCTAATTTAGTAAGCCTGGGATGGGGTTTGATAATTTGCCTTTGTGATAAATTCCTAGGTTATGTTAAAACTACCTATCCAAAGACCACAATTTAAGGAGTACTCATCTACTTGAAATACACAATACAGGGTGGACTTGTACCTGGCCAGTGTTTTAGATTTGTGCATCCTAAAGAAACCAATATCTACATGTGTCTAATAATTACAACTGATTGGAATAGAACAAAATATTTAATTCTGTTGCACAAGCCACATTTCAAGTGCTGAATAGGCACATGTCACTGGTGGTTACTGCCCTTGGCAGGGCATTTGTGGAACACCTTGGTCATTCAGAGTTTTATATGGAGAGTGCTTGCTGCTCTGACCTCTTTCTAATCAAAGTGAAGTCCAAGGATTTCAGTATCAACATCATGTGGGAGCTTTGGGGGATAGATTATCAGAGTCTTCCTCATTCTGAATCAGAATCTGTATTCTAGCATATCCCCTAGTTATTTCAGCGAGCACTGAGGTTTGAGAAATTCCTTTGCAAGCGCGCACACATACATAAAGCATTGACTCCTCATAACCCTTGGTGAATGGCTTCTTTCATTATAACCATTCTATAGATGAGGGAATTGAGGCTTAGATGGGTTGAATTTTTCCCAGTTCCTCTGGGCTCCTTGGCTAAGACTCAGGTTGGGTCAGAATCCGAAGCCTATGCATTCCTCAAGTACAGAGCCCGTGGAAGAATATCAGGGTTACAGCCACAGCCGGCTGGACCTTTCGAAGTTTCTCATTTTCCTCTGACTTTGCGCTCTGCTTTACAGAAGAGGGCATCAGTGCGGGGACAGAGCTTAGGAGCCCCTGCGAATGCGAGAGCCTCGTGGAGTTTCAGGGCCGCACGCTGGAGGCACTGGAGAGTTTGACGCAGAACCATATCCTTAGGGGCTGGAGGTGCATGGTTTGCGGGCGGGTCAAGGACTTCTCCAAAACACAGTTGCCTTCCTTAACCGCTCACTGGCCCAGCTGACAGAGCGCCTGGAGGATCTGGAGAACCAGCTGGCTAACCACAAGTGAGGGCCGCTGGGGACGTGGCCCTCGAATGATATCCGAGCACCAGCGCGGGGCAGAGCCCGAACATCTCACAGCTTGGATGTCCTGGAGGAGGAGCTGGCGGGTTCCCAGCGCTGCCTGGGACAGCTCGCCTGGACCAAAAGCCAGACTTCGCGGGGGCGAGGGAGAGGTGGTGATGGGGAAGGCGGTGCTGGACTGGCGCGCCCTCGCCTGGTGCTGCGCTTAGTTCTTTGTCGGATTTCTTTTTTTGTTTTCCTTTTCTAAAAAAAAAAAACAAAACCGTTTTCCACGGGATTGGTTTGTGGCTCTTGCTGTGCCTCCAGGGGAGGAAAGGCCAGACGGAGTGCGCTCCTCAGGCGCCCGGGCGGCGTCTCTTTGGAGAAAGGCTCATTGTGCGGTGGGTCCGGCTGGGGGGCAGGAGCCGTCCCTGCTTCCCTCTCCTTGTTTATTCAGCCAAGAACAGATGGCCCCTTATGCAGGATACGGGAGGGGAGGGGGGTTCCTCGGGAACCGCTGGGATCTGAGTAGGTCTGCATCCCCCATCATTGCGTGGATGGAGCACTTCGTTCTCTCGCTGTTCCTGGCGCCCCCAAAGTGGCTCCAAAGCGCTGGGACCTGGCTGGGGAGTTGGTGAGGAGGTGGGAGCAGCGACTGAGCGCCTGAACAGATAGAGTGGAGGATGAGAAACAAGTTCCATCTGGACTTTTATCTTCCTCTGGCACTGGGTTGGAAGAGAAGGTCTTGGCTGGACCCCTTGTCAGAGCCTGTGGCTCTCTCCCTCTGCCACTTCCTCCCAGAAACAAAGCAAACAAAGCAAAGCAAAATCAGCATGGAACACAACTTCCCAGGTACATGCAGGAAGCGGAAAGCTTTAAAATGCTTTCAGTTCCAGAGTGATTGTCAGGCAAACTTCTTTGGGCTTGTTTTGCCATTGGTAAAGCTGAGATGGAAATTGTTGCCCCCAAGGGTTGAGGAATTTCTGCTAAGGCGCCTGGCGTTGTGCCGGATACACACATTAGGTCCTCAGTTAATGGTAGTTACTAATTATTCTTATAGTAATAGGTAACATATTTAGTCTTGGGCATTATTTTAAGTGATTTCCAGGTATTACCACTGTACCTTCTTTGACCCTAATAACAACCTTGTGAAACAGGAATTAGTATCTTACCGGGCAAGATGGCTCAACGCATAAGCATGCTTACCACCAAGCCTGATGACCTGAGATCAACCCTCAGGCCCCACATGGTGGAAGGAGAGAACTAACTTTTACAAGTTGTCCTCTGATTTCCACATGTGTCTCCCCGCCCCCATTAAATAAATAAATAAATGTAAAAAAATACAATGATCACTTTTATCATTCCCATTTTACAGATGAGATGGAGGCATCTCGTGGTTAAGTTTCCTAAAGTGGAATAGTTAGTAAGAAGAGTAACCTGCATGTATTAGTTTCTTGCTGCTGCCATAACAAATGGAGGGGTTTGGAAGCTAGATGAATTGTCTTTCAGTTCTGGAAGTCAGAAGTCCTTCAGATGGGTTGGCAGGGCTGCATCCTTCTGGAGAGGTCTGTCCTCTTTTCTAGCATCCAGAAGCCACCTGATGGCTCAAGGCCTCCCAAGGCTTTGATCTTTGCCTGGTGGCATCCCTTTCCCTGACATTGACACCCCTATCTCTGCCTGTGATTTTATTGCTATGACTTGGATGATCACAGATAAGCTCTCCATTTCAAGAACTCTTTAACATAATCGCACAGATAGAAGTCTCCTTTGTCATGGAAGGTCATGTATTTATTCACAGGTTTCAAGGATTGGGTGTGGGGGGCATTGTTCGCTACCATACAGGGAAAAAGCTAGGCTGACTGATTTCAGAGCAGGTGTTTTCTACAGGTGGCCCTGTGCTAGGCTAAGTGAAGAGGAAGACAAGTCTTTGAGTTGGGGGTGCTCAGTGCTTGGGCATGATGAAGTCCATGCACGTATACCTGTAGCAGAAAGAGGGGGCTTCAGATGAGAAGACAGAGCAAAGGGCATGAAGGAGGAAAGGAGAGCTTTGAGCTAAACCTTAAACTATAGCTAGACTTCCTATGAGTGGCCATGGGGGATTTTTTGTTGTTGTTTTGAGATAGGGTCTCACTGTGTAACACAGCCAGGCCTGGAACTCACTGGGTAGACGAGACTGGCCTTGAACTCTCAGAAATCCATCTGCTCGTACCTCCAAAGTGCTGGGATTAAAAACATGTGTCACCACACCCAGCATGAACTCAATTTTACAGTTAAGGAAAATGAGTCCTAGAGGACACAGGTTCTTGCCTGAGAGCTCATAGTGAGAAAGCAGCTGGACCAGGCAGAAGACTTGTGGGGATGTCAGAATGGAATTGGGCACTTAACTGATGGGCATCCCTAAAAGTTGGTAAAACCCAGACTCCTTCCCTCTTTCCTGGCTGAGGCCTGCATCCACTCTGGTTTCTTTGCCCACCTGCCTCTTTACTTCTGCAATCTCCCTACTGGCCACAGGGTGGTGCTAGGAGCTCTGATTTAGAGCTGGATTTATGAACCCTTGTAAGCCCTTGGCATCAGGCATGGCACTGATAATGGTCTTCAACACCAAAAGCTTTAGAATAGCAAAGAGATCAGTGGGCCAGGGAGGGGATCACAAGTGACTCTGAAGTGGAAGACAGGCCAGCTGTCTCATGGTCTGTTCTTTTTCCTAAACCAAACACACTGTTTCACGTCAGAATGGGAGGCAACATCTATTCAGCCTCTGTTAACTTGTAGGACCATGACTTGTGTGTCCCTCTCCCAGTGGGCATTTGCATTTTAAGAAGAGCCAAGAAGAAAGAGAGCAAGGGTTGATCCAAAGAGATATTGTTTATGGAAGTTCTGGTGGCCAAGGCTACATATGTGCTCAGGGACTGGCATGGGTTCTTTATCCTATAGGATTGTGTGTAGGATTTTTATCTTACAGGATCAAGGCAACACTGCAAGGTTAACATCATCACATTGTCAGAGGAGCCAACTGAGGTGAAAAGACAGGTACCCCAAATTATTCACTGAGCCCCTTGATATCCAGGGTTCTTTTTATTTCATCATCACAGTGGTCAAAAATGGGAAGAATGTTGGGGTGAAAGTGAGGGTTCTTCTCTTGACTCAATATTAGATGCCAAAAGGCTGAATGTCTTAGAGGAGGGAGAAGAGTTGGGAAGGGACTGGCATGAGTACCAGGGAGAATTCTCTTGGTTCAGCTAAATTCCAGAAGAGCAGGAGGAGAGAGGGAGTGGAGGACAGTTGGTGTGTGAGTCAAGGAACAAACAATAATGATAATGCTAATAATCACAGTGGTGAGTGTGTGACTCACAAGGTAATTTCCTATCATTCATAGCTCAGCAGAGCCACACATCACCCAAGGAAGCAGACCAGGCAGTGTGGTTGCTGCTATTTTAATGAAGGGAAAACTAAAGGCTGCAGAGGGGACAGTGGCTTGCCCAAGTTTCTGTGTCAAGTTACTTCCAGTGCTGGGCTGGATGCAGACCTCTGGTTCCCAGCCCAGGACCTTGCTGCCACACATGGGCCCCAGCTGTGGCCAGCCAGGGGGAATGAGGCCCAGACACATCCCTTTCTGGCCTCAGGTGGAGACCCAGGAGGATGATTTGGATCGGAGGTTTGGGATGTCAGAAGACAGGAGAGAATCTAGTTGGAGTGGGGAGCTGATGCCTCAAATGAGTCATGTGTCCTTCAGGCTCCTTTGACTTCTTATTCTGGCTGATGTGTGGCTGATCCTGCCTCACTGTCTGATTCTTTGACCTGAACCTGGACTATGTTCCTCCCTTCCATATTCTTCCCTCCCTCCTTCCTTCCCTCCTTCCCTCTCCCAACAAAGAACTGTCACTCATATCTCCCTTCCTAACCTGGCTCAAACTTAGCAGCCCCTCTGCTAAAAAAAAAAAAAAAAATGAGCTGCTTTTGTGAGTAATGCCCACTGAGAACCTACTGTGTGCAGTTTTATGCTGGGCACTTTTATAGCTATAGTCTGTGTTTATACTATACCCCAACTCTTTGTGATGGATTTTATTTTCCCCATTGTCCCTCCCATCCAATGTTTAAAACAAGTTGTGACTTAGGATTGATATTGTTTTCTAATTTCATTAGAGTACTGTGACTTTCACGGAGGAAGACGGAGTTTTAGCACCTTAATTTTGCCATCTTTAACCAAAAAATTCTCATATTAAAAAACCTTGAGTTGGGTATGGTGGCACATACCTTTAATCCCCAGCACTTGGGAAGCAGGCAGGTGGATCACTGAGTTTAAGGCCAGCCTGGTCTAAATAGCAAGTTCCAGGATAGTTAGGGCTACATAATGAGACCCTATTCCCCAAATTAAAAACAAAACAAAACAAAACAACAACAACAAAATCCAAATGGGCTGGAGAGATGGCTCAGTGATTAAGAGCACTGGTTGTTCTTGCAGAAGACCCAGGTTTGAATCCCAGCATCCACATGGCAGCTAACAACCACCTGTAACTCTAGTTCCAGGGGATCTGACACCCTCTATTGTCCTCCACGGGCACTGCACAACACGAGTGCACTTTACATGCAGGCATAACATTCATACACATAAAAATAAAAATAAATAAATACAATTTTTTTTGGTCTTTTTGAGACAGGATCTCCATGTAGCCCCAGCTGGCCTGGAACTCACTCTGTAGACCAGGCTGGCCTTGAACTCACAGAGATCCACCTGCCACTACCTCCTATAAATAAAATTAAAAAAATTTTTATTTATTGTTTTTATTATTTTATGTGTTTGAGTATATTGCCTACATGTATGTGAGTACACCTGTGTCGTGCAATGCCGCAGAGGTCAGAAGAAGGCTTCGGATTCCCCTGGAACTGGAGTTAAGGACGGTTCGTAGCCACCATGTGGGTGTTGGAAATTGAACCCGGGTCCTCTGCAAGAGCAGTCAGTGCTCTTAACCACTGAGCCATCTCTCCAGCCCCAAATAAAAAATTTTAAAAATAGAAAACAAATAAAATCCCCAACAGCTAGAAAACGCTTGTGTTGCTGTTGAAGGGAGAAGGAAGGGGGGGGGACGAATACGGGGGAAGGACATAGTCCAGGCCAAATCCATGGAATCAGGTAGTGAGGGAGGACTAGCCACCCATCAGCCAGCATGAGGAGTCAAACGTCTTGGACACCAGGGCCAAGTGCAATATAACGCTTGCTGCAGAGCATCCTTCTCATACCTGTGTGTTCGTATCAGATGTGAGAAACATGGCAGACGAGCAAGTCGAAAGGGAGCGGCA